AAATTGATAATGCACTAATAAAAATTATATTATTCATTTATTAATATTATGTTATTATCTTTCAGGAACCAGTGTGTTACTGAAGTCCACATAAACGTCTTGCCAGCAGCAATATTTTTCCAGCATTTTTGTTTGTGTTTTCACACAGAGTTTGAGTGTTGCTGTCAAAAAAGAACAGCTCCATGGGGCTTGTGCTGTGCCCAGAGGAAGGGGGCCGTTGCCCACCAGGATTCCTTTTTGGGAGGAACCTGGGGAGTGGCTGTGGCTATCTTTTTCTAGTTTCACCCACCACCATTCCAACTCCACATCTCACAGTAACTTTTCTGAATTGCTGGAAAGAGATGAGGTGTTTTGTGCTGATGCTCAGGGGAATGATGGAGGTAGATGCTGCCTCTGGCGTGAAGTGCTGTGGTGCCTGCATCTCTTGTGGGGCTCAAACAAAGACAAATGAAATGATCAGATCAGAAAATATATTGGCTCAAAAACAACTCTCAAACAAATGTGTAATTCATTAGTTGTTGGAATAATAATCTCTAAAATATGCTACATCCGTATACTAAAAGACAATAAAAACAGCCACAGCCTGCTCACCATGCTGCTTTCTGGCAAGCTATCCAGAATTATCAGTTACCGTAGAGATTACAGAGCAGCTTCTTTCCTCAGGCTGTGAGACTCCTCAACTCATCCTCTTGTCCATACTCCACCATAATGTTTATATGATTCATTATTTATTTATTTATAAAATTTTTGTTTTGTGAGGAAGTTAGCATAGAGAGGGACTACAACTAGCATTTTGTTTTACAACCCTGTGTTGTGTGTAAAGGAACCTTGTACCTTAAAAATTGTACTTCACGAAAAATTTCATATCACGATTATAGTGACCAAAATTATCACGGTTATCACAGTATTGTTAAAATGTGCTGATAAAGATTAAAATGTACTGACACACACACTGAAACCATTTCAACAAGTTTTATATTGAAAACCACAATTAAAGTTAATATTTTGTTTGCATAAATATTGAAATAATAACAACCAGTACCTTATGTAATCATATGAAAACCATCTAAGTGTGCATTATCTTTAAAGGTTTTATATTATAGAAGTAATACAATGACCCCATGCACGATTACATGAATACAATTGAGTCTTTAGAAGACAGTGATAGTAACTGCAATGAGCCCAACAATTGACATAAATACAGAGCAGTCTGTAGCGTTTTGTCTGTTCGGATGCTTTTCCATCTAAGGAGGCTTTCACACCTGGAAGTCCGCACAAAGATCCGAACCAAAGTTCATGTTTGATACATTTTGATACATTTTGTTAGTTTTGGTTTGGTTTCACACCGCAATTCTGCGACCACACTAAAGAACTTTACATGTGTCCTGTTGTCATCATCTATGTGGGCTGCGTCTCCCTGTACTTGACATTGATTGGTTTATTAAACAGTTCAGCGGGGAGCTTTGACAATAATGAATGAATTAAAAATGTACATATGCATATTTGCCACCACTATAATGTTATTATTATAGCAGCACCAACTATACTGAACACTAGTTGCAATTAAATGTCCTTGTGCGAACGTTATCACGTCGCCGACAGGACAAGAGGAGAAGACCCCAAGCACTCCTTCTGCACCTCCGTTTGAGGAGGGACCTTAGAGATTGGTGGCAATGTGCTTCTATAGTGGCCCTCAGTTTGAAAAGATGAGCTATCATGGGAGATTTATAATTGTGTCCTCATTTCAATGCATCTCTCCGTGCATTTGTTTATTTCCGATTTATATGGCGAACGCTGAACTTCTTGTAAATGGTCTGAAAGTCCATCCAAAAAATGATTTCACACCAGAAACGAACCTAACCATGGTTCAGTTCGAGACTCTTTTTGTGGGACCATATTTCGTCTGTGGTCCAAGGGAGGTTTCACACCTGTATTTTTGGTTCGGACCAAACTGAAAAGTCCGAAAGTCCGGACGTCGTCAGTTGTTATCATGTGCAGTGGGCGAATAGACTCCGCAGACACACAATGCATACAGCAGCAGAACAACGTGTAGCGTTTTTACCACTACAACAGCAGCTAGCACTGAGAGCTTCAGTTTACAAGTCAGTCAGACAAGCCAGCTAAAAGGTAACTCACCCTGTGTTCAATATAAGGCAAGTTTCCTCCAGCTCTCTAATAAAAAACAAAATACAACCAGACTTCCGACAGGCTGAAAAATCGCAGCGCTGTCTTTCACTCTGTTGCCATGGACCCAAGCAAACCCACGTTGCACACTGTGAATGTATGCCTGCTTCTGGGAGCCTGTTGCTAACTTTGGTTGATGCTGGACAGTATTTGCCTGAGTTTATCAAGGCACAGTAACCGAACCCGGTTATCATGGTAATAATAACAGTCTGGAATTTTGCCATGGTTTATCATTAAACCGCTAACCGTTTCATTCCTATACTTTCAATGCCTTCAACAAAATGTGCTCCAAATTACTACGGTATTATGGTATTATGGTATTATGGTATACCAGCGTATCATCCTGAAGGTCTGACTTTTAAAACAGACGCTCCTCTGAGCTGATGCATTGGAGTGTACGCCCTCAGTGTAGGTGGGTGACTCCATGTGAAACTACCTGACATCTACAACACAGCAACTCCCTTCACTTTTCCAGCAGTTGGTAAACAACACACAGAGAAGAGCTGTAGCTGCAGCCTATATTCACTGGCACATTGTAACCTACACTGTACATTTACTGCTAAACTTCACTGCTCACCTTTTCCTTTGCCAACAGTGACTGGAAAAGAAAAGAAACATGCCTCTGCCCATTTTTGGGAGTGTTTTGGGTTTAGCCTCTATGATTAAGGTGAGCCAGCCAACAGGACAAAGCTATGTGCACATTATCTCCATTCAGCCCACTGTAATTGGGTCCTCCAGCAAGAATCTATAGAATAACGGTGCTTATTTCCTATCTGTTCATTATTCTATGGGCCTTAAGGATTTAAATAAGACTTGTCTAAGGAGGCCAACTGCAAATTAGACACATAGCACTGTAGGCTAGACAATGGCATACATGCTACAATGACTCTATCACCTGCAGCTCGGTTTTTCCTCTGGGCAAACATCTTTTTCAGAGGCTACCGACTCATTGCGGCCCTGCAGTGCTGTTCAAGATGTACTTCGGAGTTTAATAAACATTATGATCCAACTCACTGTCACTGAGCTGGTAGCTGTTTTCCTCCACCTGTTTGTTATGCTGCTCAATGGCTCGCCTGTGTTGGCCAATGAACGTTAAGCCCAGTTTCACAGCATCGTCCAGATGACTTCCGCTGTTTTGCAATCCTCTCAGTAAGATGAAGATGAAAACAGTCACAGGATGGTCTCCCTCAAAGCCAAAGGTGCTCATTAGGTGTCCATTTGATGTTAGCTTGCTGCTAGCGATGGTGCTAACCTCTTGCTATCTGCAGTCTCGTAATATACTGTAAAACTTCAATTACTAGCCGAGTCCCAAATAGCCGCCTATCTCCTTTTCTGGCCTGGTGTGGGAACACAATTTGACAAATAAACGCAGGTCTCCATTAAACGCCTGGTCTGGTTTTTAGAGAAGTTCTTTGGATGTATTAAACCTCTTAAACCCCGTGGTAATACAAATATTAATGTTTAAACGTATGATCAATATGTCAGTATGGACATCGATTAGATTCTCCACAAATCAGTCGTTCAGTTCATTTAAAGGAAACAACGAGCCCCAAAGTCTAATTCTTCTACATTTACCGGCGGAACCTGCATGGTACGAGAGAGGAAAGGAAAAAAGTGCTGACTGCCGTTACATTTGAAGAGCTTGTTGAGTCCAAATGTGTCCATTCCTTGATTATTTATATTCCTTTAACGTTAGTCTGTAAGGGTCCACTAATCAAAAGAATCAAAACAGCTTTTCATGAAAATTAATCCAAGTTGTGAATCCTGTCGTGTGAAGTCCATCGCTCTCTGTCTGCTAACTTCTCTCATACTGCACCATGTTGTTTTCTTGATGTTACTTCAAAATAAAAGCACATGTCAGCGCTAGATCAAATGAATGATGTGTATTTGATATTATTGGATTGGAAGTTTTCTACAAGTAATATTCTGTTTGAAATAAACTGTTTCATAGTTTCATAATTTCATAATTTCAGTTTTGTGCAAAAGGAATTAAAGGCCTGTCCCATATGGACGCCTGTCCCAAATAAAGGCAGGGTCAATTGGTGATTTTAGCAAATAAAAGCCCGGGCTATTATTCAAAGTTTTATGGAAGCTCTTACACACAGTACAGTACACAAAACTTTGTAGCAGTGTGTCAAACGTATTATCAACTAGCCAGGCTACTGACTGTCTGTATATTCATTACATTACACACGCTGGAAAAAGTAGGCTGACTTGTAACTCCGCTCCGCCCTTAACCAATCACAATTTAAGAAACGTGACAGGCATCTCCTAAAATAAACATCATAGTCCGTCACAGCTCAGGGTCAGTGGTTACCCTCTTAAAGTGACTAATATGACAACACTTATATGCTGCTAAGCACCTTTTAACTCAAACCCAGAAGTTACATAAGTATATAGCATTTTATGCATATGCCTGCCACGTAACATAATGACATCATTAGCATACAACGCGATGACATGAAAGACCGAATCCTAAGCTTTCCGCTGCAAAAACAATTAATGCTGACATGCACATTTTGGATTTCCAGAGACTTAAATCAGGACTTAATGCAACACACAAAGCCGCATGGAGCGACCTGCCTCCCACATTTTTCCCCATCTATGTTTACGGGTCCTGGGGATAAGCTTCCAGATGCAGCACAGTCCTACTATGACGTACTTAAGCCTAATTATTGACAGATGTGTTGAGGAATGATGCAAATGTGAATCCAAATAGATGTGTTTGTAATGTCCTTTTTTGGTTTGTATTCGTGTGTGAGACAATTAGTGCATCAACATTATCTATTTCTTGTGCTTCTTTTTTCTCTTCTCAGTCGTGTGTCACCTGCCGTGTATAAATGGCGGCAAATGCAGTGCCAGGGATAAGTGTCAGTGTCCTCCCAGCTTTACTGGAAAGTTCTGTCAGATGCCCATTCAGAACGGACACCAGCAGCACCAGCAGACATCAGGCAGCTACAGTCAAACTCAAGTCCACTCCACACATACACTACCTCTGACCTACAGCAACGGCCAGAGTCCTGGTGAGTGAAAGGCACAACTGTGAAAACATCAGTACAATTAAAGACTAAGAGGATAAATGGTTTTGTGACCTAGATGAAAATGGGGTTATAGAAGGTAGTAGGAGAAACACTCTCCTATTCCTTATCAGCCAATTTCCTCTTAAGGATGCATGTTTAAGCCCATTTACTGCAAGTCATGCATCGCAAAGACTGCGTGGAAGGTTGTGAAAGGAGCAATTCACAAATGTGAAATACTGCAGTTCTGGAGGGTGGTCAGCAGTAATGTAAAGTAGATGTGATTTGTAGTAAATGGGCTAAAACATGTATAATCACTGGCATGGTCTTTTAAACAATTAACATAACCCCCTACATTAGAACTGTTTCCTGGCCAGTAACAAAAGACTGTGGATACGTTCTCAACAAATCTGAAATGGATTATTTAAAAGTTACAAATCACATTGCCCTTTTCATTAAAAAATGATGAGACAATTACACTCATGTCACAATTTCTCAAGATTTTCTCTTTAGCAGGGTCTGATGCAGTGTTAGAATAAGCATTAAAAATGTTAGTGTAAGAGCAAGCAATTCAAGTATTACTTCTACTGTAATGGATATACAGTGCCTGTAAAAGGCCTACATTTCATTTGTACATCATTTTTGGTTAAAGGGGCACTCCAGTGATTTAGTATTGTACTTTTCTGAAGTATTGTGTCAGCAGGCTTGGGCGATAATCTATATTTTTTTATTGTGTTTTTGTGATAGAGTTCAGTTACTGATGCCTGATATGATTGGGTAGTAAAGGGACTACCACAGCAATTAACGGTGGTCCCTTCAATCTTTGAAAGTTGAGATGATCGTCTATGAAAATAAACACTGGTCAAAAGATGGATCAGTGTCAGCAGGATAGCTTTGTGGAAAGGCATGTAATTTCATTTATATATGATATATTTTGTATAAAAAATGACCGGGATAAAGAACTGGGTGTAGAAATAAGAGAGGACAGGATTCTGAAATATATCAACAATTGTTCCCTTAACGCCAGAAACTGTTTGATACAGTACAAAGTTTTACATAGGTTACATTATTCGAAGGTGAAGCTACACAAACATTTTTCCAGAAATATCACCAGTATGTGAGAAATGTGGACTAAAAGAGGCAGATTTACTTCATATCTATGTATTGTTGTAAATTACAAGGATTCTATATTCTATATTTTCATTCTTCTCAAAGATTTTCAAAATCCAAATGAGACTGGATCCACTCTTGGTTATATTTGGGGTTTTGAAAAATTACAGGAACCTACAGATTGCACAGCATTATCTCCATTCCTATGGACTCCTATGTGCAAAGAAATTAATTCTTAACTCTTGTCCTGGAAGAAGAAAGATGTGCCAACCTTTAATTGTTGGATTACAACACTTACTGACACTCACCATTTGGAGATAATCCGATATGTCTTTAGGGACAGACTTGATGACCTGGGGGCCGATGATCACCTCTATGGAAGGGACAGATGTTTAAAGATGCTGCAAGAGTAACGATTCTTTCCAGTACATCTGGGTAGCACTGCTGGGGAAAGGGGTTGTTTTTATTTGCTGCTACCCCCCCCCCCCCCCCCCCCCGCTATATTGTGAGCTTCTTCTTCTTCTTGTGGCCTGGTTTATTGTAAGCCTTACAGTAAAAATATTTCAAACAAAAACACTGGTCAAAAGGCTGGCTATAACTATTTCCATATTTAGAGGTACAGAGCTATTTGTTTAAGAGCCAGAATTCATCTCCATAGTCCACTGCTGGTGTTGTAGGAGTGTGTGGTTGATGTTGAGAGGGGGAGTCAGACTAAGCTGACGCTTTTATCCAATGCGACTTACAATATCTAAATATGTCAGAGGTCACACATCTCTGGAGCGACAAGTGTCTTGCTCAGGGACACATTGGTGGATGGGTCACAGTGGGGGATTGAACCAGGGTCTCTCACACCAGAGGTGGTAAACTCATCCGCTGCTCCATCACCACCCATCTATGAGGTTGAACTGGATCTCGTATCGAAGGTTATGTAACCAATGTTCCTACGGTGGCAAGTGTACAGACATTAGTCAACTAGAACTGACCACGCGATCAAATGTTAGACTGACTTCATGGATAACTTCGTCATGCAAGCTGTAAGAAACAGCCAGAAAAGTGAATGAATGAAAGGCTGTTTTTCTGCCTTTTCATCTTTGCTAGTTAACATTAGCTCGACTGGAGAAAAAATGATTTTATTTACTGGCACAAAGGCAATTAGCAACTACTGGTAACTTTTAAGGTAGAATTACTTAATGCATGAGTTAACTTTTTGAATCAGTCAACACAACTTTGATCATTCCATATGTTTTTATTGGCTCTCTCTTCACTCTTGCGTGAATATCAACCAGATGATGTGAAGATTCTGTATGTGAAGATTTTCAGTCATCCAGGTCGTAGTTATCAAAGGAAGCTTTAAATCAAGTCATCTGGACTTGGTTGAGGCTTCTTCAGTTCTTTAGTTGCAACTTTGTAGCGTTGGATCCTCCCTGCCTGATAAATGTCCACATCATTCTAACTCTAATCCCCAAGTTTGTTACGCAGTGTTTCTGGTATAAATGTGTAATCTCCAAGCCCAGGATGAGATAAACCCCGATGATATCACTATGACATCCACATTGTTATTTTACCAAGGCATATTCACATTTCAGCGGAAGATCAAGGTACCACTGTACTAAACGCCGCAATGCTAATGTAACTAAGGTGGTGCTAGATCATGCTAGATCCCTAAATTTCAGAGACTCAAACACTGGTTTTGGAACAAAGCTGGGAGCAGCATCTGCATGATAATATTTAGCGAATATCATTTTTTTGATCTGATCACATCAATTTGTTATTGTAAAGTTCAGGAAATTTTGAAGCATGATTAATACGTTTCATTCAATCAGTGATCAACAGTGCCCACAAAGGTAGCTCAGCTTGGGTCAAAGTTCATCAAATTTGAACTTTTGGTGCACCCACGAAAATTGCACAGAGCCATCCCAACACCACAATATGTTGGGAGAATGTGTGCACAAAAGCTGTTTACCACGAGAATGTGAATATGGCATCAGTCTTGATAAAGCTCCTCCAGAGCCACCAGGCACAGGCCTGTGATTAGTAAACTAATCTTAATGTGTGAAATCTGTGGGGTGTCCTTGCGTGTTCTTTGACAATACACTGTAATAATTGTGTGGCTCATGTTGTCCAATGTGCATCTAGTGTTCAGCCCCAGCATCGTCAACATCCACATCAAACATCCTCCAGAGGCCTCTGTCCAGGTACACCAGGTGTCTCAGCTGGACAACTACCACAACAACGGGCACCAGCTGAAAGGTTCCCAGTCAGGCTCCTCTTCATCCACCAGCTATAGATACCACCACACAGAGAGCAGCCAGAATATCCAGCACCACGGCTACAACATAGTTTATCCCAGCCAGCATGGCTACCAGGTCCCGCAGTACCAGCCCGTCACCTCCAAGAACACGCTGGGTCGCTGCTTCCAGGAGACTGCAGGGAGTCAGGTACACTGTCGGAAAAGACCTGTTCTTATCTGTATGTGTGGCCATGAGATAGAGGGTGATGAGGGGATGAGGTGTTTACGTCTGTTTGTGTTCAACACCTGGGGATCGGACATACAGGAAACAGACAGAATACAAAAACCTAACTTTTATTCAAATTAAAATCCAAACGTTTCTTTCTCTGCCACTTTGTTTCATTGTACATCTGTATGTTTCAGTGTGGAAAGGCTCTGCCAGGTCTCACTAAGCAGGAGCAGTGTTGTGGGACCATTGGGACGTCCTGGGGTTTCCAGAAATGCCAGAAATGTCCAAAGAAACCATGTAAGTACAGCTGTTCTTCTCAGATGTTATTCCTGCTTTTTGTATTTGCACATGCTAGCCTCGAAAACCCAGCTGTATTCTAACATTAACTTAGCTGTCCTTATTAGCTTGGCTCCTTGCATGCTTGCTAATAACTTTTTTTAAGCTGGGTTGACGGCGTTGTGTTAGACAGATTTGTGCAGTGGTGTTCCATGAGGGAGAGAGGGACGAGCGAGAGGAAGTGCTGCGCGAATGCGCTACGGCACTCTGCAATCAAATACGATTTTAAATAGGTTTAGTAAAAAAAATTTTGAAAATCAATATCTGGCGGTCAGCGTTGATATTAATAAATAATAAATAAATGAACGTATGGGAAACACTGGGCCTGTTTTATTTTTGTGTTTACATATACAGATTCATGAGTAAACAAACCTTTAACATCATCAGAAACATTAAGATGTAGCTGTTCTTACTACTATGTATTATCAGTTGTAGATCTCGTGCTGTATTGATGCTTTGTAGATGCTCAAATGTAAGTGTCTTTGGACAAAAGCATCTGCAAATGAGTAAATTTGGCTGCTTATTAAAAGGTTAAGGGGTGACAGCAAGATTACATTCTGTGGTTGGGTGGTGCAGTGACCCCTGTGTTTACATTTTAATCATAGATGTTTAAAATAGCATTGAAAACTGTTTCAAACTGACACCAGAAAGATATTTTGGTACCAATGTCACTAAAGTGTTGAACATATAACATCTGATCTTTCATTTTGGTGCCACTGTATACCGTATAGACAGTATCTGCTGGGTGTAAGAAAAAAGTTGATTTTCATCATAGTAAGGGAGGGTCATTATACACACAGATGTATAAAAAGATACTACTACATGATTCTGTCCCTGTCCTGTGAGACACAGCATGTAGCATTTAGCAGTCTTCCCAAATTGGTCCTTTAACCTAAATCTAAATACCTCTCTATATGTAGCCCAGTGTGAGGTCAAATTGCACTTATTCACATGAAGATTTCTATTTTAGACTTGAAATGCTGACGTCATTCTTTTAATGGGGCAGCTGTAGAAGCTTTATCAAGTCTGACAAAATAATGATATCATAGGGATGTCATCAAAGTTATCTCAACTTTGGCTTGGAGAATACAAACAGAAAGCCTGCATTACAAACTGGGGGTGTGAGGTTTGAAAGACCTGGCTGTTTACACAGCAGGGAGGGTCTAATGAAAGACGACGCTGAGATGGGAAATGTAGTGCCTGGGGCTGCTGCTCATTTTTAGGTGTCCTATTGTTTTTCTTCTCATTCTTCTTCTTTTTCTCTGCTAAAACTGCAGCAAAACCATAAGACCAAACATCACTAAAGATACTGCTTTAAGCTACTACTTAAAGCTTTCATTTTTGAGGTAATTTACTACTAGAATAAAAGATTATTGATTTATTTATAAATTTAGGTTGTACTATACTTAAAAAGAAAGACAGAGTGAAATGGCAAGCCACCTGGAAACCTACACCTAAAATGTGTTTTACACAGCTCAGTGAGTGTCTCTCACAGACTTTCGCTTCAGCTAGCAACAGGCAAAATAAAGACGCTGAACCAGAGCAATTAGGAAACATTATATGACCCTTGTGCTGGTTTGGGTATTAAAAGACAGGTGACTGTCACCCTGCCAGTTATTTCCAGAGAGGAAAAGCACTAAATGCCTTGGTGGCATGCAGTGCAGGCCCCTGCTCCACAGGTCTTTTTAGAGAAGTTATTACCCGGCTGTGTGGGGGAGTCAGAGAGGGGGTTGCCAGCCTGACTGTGGCTGTGCTTTTTATGAAGTAGCTGGCTATTCAACCATACTCCCTTTATAGAACTATGGAACCTGTCTTTGAAGCCAAAGCTATTGGATGTAGAGCATTAAAGACACACTCAGAGTTACAGTAAGTTCCCCATTTCAACTGTATACAACCCAATTACACATATTGTTTACATTAGCTGTAGACTTGGAAGCACATGAAGCTGTGACTCATCAGGGCAAAACATTAGCAACTCTGTCCGAAATGAGCTGGTTCTTTGGTAAAAAGATCCATAAAACATGAGAAGAAGTTTTACCTATGACTACGAAGAAATTAAGAAATTATAATAAACTGAGCTCAGTAATACATTCAGCAGTTCACTTTCAGATTCTGGGTCAATTTTTGATAGCTGAGCCGAAGCTCATTGATATTGTCGTATTCAGAGTGATTCTCCATGTCATACCGACAAATAAAACTACATTTCACACAAACAAATTTGAAGTAATTAAAAGTGATGGCCATGACATTAACCTAATATCATTAGACCATTCAGGAGACTACTATATAGAGTGCTTTATTATTGCTGTCTCATTGGTTGAGAAACTCACAGAGACAAATTAAACAAAGAATGGTTCAAGAGCTATCCTGACTTTTAATCCCTAGCATGGATCAAGCTCTAACCACACTGGATCCTACATTTCCCATAATGCAACTCAGCCATGCATGTTTCCTTACACTCTCTCTTCCTTAGAAATGACAGCATCTTTCAAACTTTAAACCTCAAGTTTGTAATGCAGGCGTTTCCACGGGCTGAGTAGTACTCAACATGACCAGTAAACTGAAGTTAATGTGTGCAGTTTACGCTCATAACAGGCTACTTATACTTACACAAACAGAGGACAGATATTATGTTTTGTTGGATCAGTAAAGGTATGACATCAATTCCTGATTTATTGTATGTATTAAAACGTGAACTCAGGTGAGAGATGATTAGGATTTAGAGAAATTTCACATTTAAAATCAGTAGCGACTCATACCAGCGTTTAGCCCACATGCCTCATAGACCACAGACGGAAATGTCAGCATGACTAGTCACATATTTCTGTGGGAGTCACTACAAAGCCAGAGGTTTGTCCTTCCCTCTGTTCTCCTCAGGAATGGCAGGGGCATGAGTTTAGATTTTGAAGAAGTGTGAAACGGTCCATTGTGCCATGGAGACACTGGTAGCTGGTAAATAAACTGGCTTTATTGGTCAAACAAACATTGCCTTGTTGTTTCCCGTTGAGCGAAATATCAATCTGCTTTCAGGTATTTGGGTACCAACTCCCTACTGGTGCCTTTGTCCACCGTTACAGCAGAGCCCAGCCTCTAACATGCAGTTTGACTTGAGTGTGTTTATTGTGAGCTACTGGCTGTCTGAGCAGCTTTCAGCTCTTTAGCCTCCAGCCACTGCCCCGAGTCTTTTCATGTCGGTCTCAATCAATTTAATTCAATTTCAATTCAGTTTTATTTATATAGCGTCAGTTCATAACAACAGTTATCTCATTGCTCTTTTCATATAGAGCATGTCTAGAACGTACTCTTTGCAATAAAATAGAAAACTCAAACAGAACCATGGCTCAGGGTGGGTGGCCAACTGCCTCAACCGGTTGGTGCGCGGGGGGGGAATAACAATAACAGTACTAATAATTATAGTAATATTAATGATAATGAAAATAGGACTAATATTATTTGTAGCAGTGGGTGTCAGCAGGAACATGGGGGCAGCAGGTGGCTCACAAACACAGATCCAGACTCCACAGCTCTGGACCTGAATCATCTGCAGAAAGTGACAGTAGGAGAGAGGAGAGGGACGAGTGCGAAGTGGAGTTAGTAACATGCATTAATGGGATAAGAATGCATACAGTTGGAGATGGAGATTTTTCCAGAGCAGAATATTAAAGTACGACAACGGTTATGTAACCAATGGGTGACTTATTAAGGGAGAACATCTCCTAACAAAATATAATATGGTACGGTTCCAAACTCAGTGCTTTTTGCTCATTTTATTGAACGACCACAGAGAAAAAAAATGTCTTAACACTGGAACTAGGAGAGAAATGCACTGAAACTTTTAGCTTCTCTAGGGGCTTGATTGCAGAAATCCCCCAAGGCTGCATAGCATTGGATAAAACATTGCAATACAATTGTCAATCACACACTCGCACTAAATATAATAAATCTATGCTAGTTAGCTTAAAGTGGCTATAATCAGTATCAAAGAACAATGTGAGTGAGTTTAAGCTCATTGTTTAGAGAAAAAGCTCTCTGTACACTCACTACCTGTACTGTTCACTGTTCCTGTTGCCCTCAAGTAGCTAAAAAAACAGTTATTGCAATTTTAACAAGTTAGCTGGTTGTTCTTAGCTAGAATGCTGTTGGCTGTCACAGTCAGAAGTGAATATAGCTTGCTTGGTACTGGCCAGTGTTTAATAATAAGTGGGCAGAAGTAAAAAAAAAACAGAGGTGGTTTTCAAATGCTGGAACACACTGTTCGTTGTTAAGGGCCCAACTTGAACTAGAAACACCAGTTTACACTGAAACTGATACATGTCAGAGGTCACATGCCTCTGGAGCAACCAGGGGTTAAGTGTCTTGCTCAGGGACACGGTGGGGGATTGAACCTGGGTCTTTCACACCAAAGGCATGTGTCTTATCCACTGTCCCATCACTACCTCCGTTATTGAGAACGTGCGCACCTGATAACTCAGTAGATTTATGACGGCACAGTCTTATCATCAGTTAACATGAATACTACGTTTGGAACATTTTCTGTGTATTGATAACTATAATTTGTTGATAACTATTGGAATTTGATTACAAAATAAAACAATGCAAAACATTAATAAACTAGCATGTAACAAATTAGAGCACAAAGATATACGATTTTTTGAAATAAGTAAAATTTTAATTTTATGAGGCTTATATAGGCAACCCATGCAAAAATATTGATCACTCAGAATGAATGATTTTGAGATTCTTTGAACTTGTTAAGGAGACATCTTTAAAACATGAAGTAGCAGAGTTTATTATTTTAGGGCCTCTAAATTATTTCAAACATTGATTGGATAGTTTGAGATACAGGACATCTGAGAAGAATCCACAGTACAGTTTACATTGAACAGTCTCCCCTGGAAAGCTGGAAAACAATCTACTGTTTCAAACTGATGTGAGAGAAAAGCTACACATTCCACTAAAAAGGTTTAAATTTAAAATTGGAACTGCTTTATTGATCATTTGTGGCAAAACAATGACGATGGTGTGTGGGTGATGGTACTATAGGGAACCAAGGTTAAATCGGACCTGAAAACTGAAAAAAACATGTTTGCAGTGTATTGTGTATGAAAATTTAACCATTCATTAAATGCCTGAATGTAATGACTAATAAATGTTTGCTGCCGTCTCTTTTCATTTTACATTCTCCTCTTCTCAGCGATCCCTCTGATAGATTGTCCGGAGGGTTACAAGAGAATCAACAGCTCTCATTGCCAAGGTAATACTTTCCCTGACATTTGTGGTTAAAATATCTTATCTTATGTGTGTGTGTGTGTATATATGTGTAATTTGGTACGCACATTCATTTCCATTCAAAATTATTTGCAGTCACTTTGGTGATCATCTGACCTTTCATCTAGTGCCATCATCACCTCAAACTTTCAATTTGTACGCTAGTTTGGTTCTTGCTGCAAAGGTTCGCTAAGAAGTTTCTGTGTGTCTCTGCAGTCTGGGGCTAAGTTTCAACAAGCGTCATGTTCAATAGACTGTTCAGGTTGGCTGGCCAGAACATGGTGGGGAAGTGCTCCTTCCTGTTCAGCCATGTTTGGACTTGAGGAGTCACTTAGCAGCATCTGTGTTGCACTGCAGTACGAACTACAAAGCAAAGACACACACAAAGGATTAGGTCTCCCCTTGTTGAGACTTGTATTGGCCAGGCATGAATGCTGTCATAGACCTTAGAGCAAACATACAGAGCTCCAAAACAGCCGACCTTAACAGCTATTCAGATGAACAGAAATCCCACTGGTACCAATAGAGGAGGAGGTCTCAGAAACTTTAATGTTTGAAAGTAAGCACTATATATTACTTTATAATTATTATTATTATTATTACTTGAAGTCAGTGCACTGAAAGACCAGTGCAGACATACTACGGTAGTAGCTTTGAAAGCCAATTTCAGTAAAAATAAACTAAGACTAAATGAGCTTAGATTGGTTCTCAATAAATGGTAAGAACATAGTCTGGTGTTCTTCATCAAACATCAGGGAAATTTTGGACAAAAAAGACTGTAACTTATAAGATACCAGTTTAATTGGATTAACTCAGACTGGTGAAACCTTATATTAGCTTTAGTTGAACGTGCATTTTCACACAGAACAACTGTGAATTATGTCCCTAATTAATTATATTGAAAGCTGGGCTGACTGAAAACCTGTTTCAGTGTTCATATGGGCACATTATGCTGTTCTGTTGGGAGAATCATTCCCCACAATAATTTGTGGTTCTTTATAGTCCCAATAGAGGGCACTGGAGGCACCATTACCACCAGTAATGAGGCACAGTGCCATGTTATCCACAGTGTTTGCCAGCTCTGTGGCTAGAAGCAGAAGAGCTCTGAGAGGAGAAAGAGAGGACCTGCTGCTGAGTCAGACTGCTGCCAGACTCAGTGTGTGTGTTATCCTAGACTTTGTTGTCCCTCAGGAGGTGCCGGGACTTCTGTAATCCATATCCTTTTTTTTGTGTTCTTTATCACGTGTAGTGTTGACCTTTGACATCAAATTAAACAGCGCATTCAGCACGTCTACAGTTTTTGTCGCTCATTCACCCATTCATGATCAGCTACAGTGTGGGGCAGTGTTTTTTCCCCACAGTCCCACAGCTTTAACTCTTCAAGCACATATACTACCTACCAAATGCCTAATCTCTTTCAAAATGTAACGCCAACATCACCGACCGAGACTGTACAAGCAGATAGAAACCAAGAGGAGAGCAGTACTAGGGAAGGAGGGGGTCTTGCCATTCTCATTAACAACTGCTGGTCCAGCCCTGTCAAGGAACGTGTCTGTAGCATGGACTTTGAACATGCGCCAGATGTCTTTTGTGTAACTAAGTACAGTAATTGAGAAAATTATAAACATCTCTGTGTCCCATCTGGCAATGTTTCCTGGATTTATTGTGTTTTATTTTTTTGTTGATTCACAGATTTAGATGAGTGCCAGCTACAGGGAGTGTGTCCTAATGGGAACTGTCTGAACACCATGGGCAGCTACAGGTGCCATTGTAAACCTGGCTATGTCCCTGACCCCACGCTCACCATGTGCATATGTAAGTCCCACAATCTAATATTGTCTATTTCAGTTTCTTTCTCTCATTAATTTCTCATTAATTATCATCCAAACCCAGAACATCCAACAGTGTCAGACTGAGCCACAACTATACATTGACAACTACTGAATGCATTACATTTGCATGCTGGTCTATGATGTGCAGATTTGCTCATACAATAGGAGTTTGATATTTCCCATCACATGACAGTAGACATGGGACATATGCATTTCATGATTTCCCCCACCACCTGCCCCAAAGTACAAGCATAGCATAGGGCTGCTAGGAATGCACTAAAGATATGCTGATGAATACAGTGCATGGATGAAAGCATGGTGTTTATTGCATAATTCTGTTTCCCCCTCAAGCATGTAATGCAAAGCACAAAATACAGCCGAACCCAACATATCACACGTGTCTCATATAAAAGGAGCAGGACAGAGAGGATGAGGGGCAACACAGAGAAGATGTAGTTAGTTAAGCAACGTGCATGCAAAAGTGCCAAAGTGGTCTTGAACATGATTGATCAGCTGTGTGTGTGTGTGTGAGGAAGAAAGTTGAGGGGTTGGGGAATGGGGTTGTGTCCCGATTCTCTTTTTATCTCATGGCTAATGAGGAAGTGTTCCTTCATCACCATCACTGTTAAAATGAAAGGGCTCAGCAGAGGAGACTTAACAAACGTGTTATTCTTAGCACTGACTTCCAACAGCTGTGCAAACACACACACACACACACACACACTCCAAGCTGATGGCTCACCTGTGATTGAAAACTCCAGCGATATACTTGTAGCTTGTACCCTTTATATTGTATCTTTTAATTTCTATCCTGTGACCAGATGTTGCTGGACAGGGTGCTGAAGTTAACACAGAACAAATCTAATTCTACTCCGTGTCACTTTTGCTAATTATGGTGATCTGTGCTTAAAGTGTCATTTTCTGCCACTTTTTTGGGTCCAGGTAAAAAGGCAAATATTTGGCAAAATCTCTTCATTTCAACTGAATGGCTGTGATCAGTGAATTAATTTGTGGGGTTGAAGTACATCCGCTCAAATCTTTTGCCTGGAGTTGGCAGAAAGTTGTTTCTGTACAGTAATCAGTGAGGACCGGCCCTCAGTAACACGTTTATCATTTATCCAACCTAATTCTTCTCTTGTTTTTGGTCTGGTAAACAGTAAATTCATAAAATTCAGGTTAAAAAATGCAAAGCATTTGGACTTTGCAGACAATGATGTATGTGTTTATTTGCATACTGTAAAGAGTGGGGAAGAGAGATCCAATCATAAATGCAGTGTGGAAAGCCTGCTGTCGCAAGTTGTGTTATTATCAAAAAATTTTTATGCGCATTATTAAGTATCGCATTCGAAAAGCTTGATGGAAACAGCAAAATTCGCAAAGAAACTTCTTTTAATTTTGCAAAAACATTTTCCGACCACTTGAGGTGTAATTTGCCTTTGTCGAAAAGAGTTATTGCGCTAAAAGGGAGATGGAAACACTTTTGCCGAATAAGTTCTGACATAGCGAACATTCAACTCACGACTGATCAGCCGCTTCTGCTGTCTGGTTGGATATTCTAATAAAGACATGGCTGTAGCAACTTACCCACACTTGAAACACATTCCTGTGGAACTCTCTCCATTTGTCTCAGGTCCATGTGACTGGTTTTGTTTCTGGTTTGCAACTCGTCTGTGACAACTACCTTTGCCGTACTCTGGTTTATTCACTCCAAAGCAGCTGATCTAAAAGCACCTATTTCGCATTGTCTTTGTTTCTTCTATTTTTTTTTTTAACATTTTAAAAGTCTGCTTAAAATTGGCTAGATGGAAACAGGGCTTTAGTGTCCTCCTGCCTCTCCAATCTCTCTTCAAGATTTCTGGATCTTTTGCATGTCTTTGTTATCGCAACGTGATGAATTGTACAAATGGGGATAACATTCATGTTAACCCGGTTCGAGTTGCATTCATGGTGTAGCACTCCATCCTCAGGAGAAGTGATAGAAGTAATTGTGTTAAGAATTTAAAAAAAGAGAGCTCAAGAGAGATGTTCAAATCCTGTCTACTGGCTCAATGCAGCACACCCAGTCAGTCGCTTCCTCATAAAGATGTATGTGATTTTAAATTTTGGAAAGTTACAAAAGATTTCGGATGGGAGATTTTTAGATTATATACAATGTGACAAGGACTTTGTTTGGAGCATACTGAGGCACTAAGTCTGACATAGTTTTCTTTGAAGATTTGTCCTTGCAAGACATAGCATAGCATGATGCTCATCACTTGGCAAGTGCAGTGCACAGTATTAAGTCCAAAGAGTTCACTTTTTGTCTCATCAAACCGCAGAAACATTTTCCTCATACTCTCACAGTCCTTTAAGTGCAGCTTGCCAAACTCCAGGTTGGCTGTCAGCTGCCTTTTGCTCAGGAGCTGCTCCGTCTGCTCACTCTGCCAGAGTGGCAGAGTGCTGCAGGGAATGTTTTTTCTTTTTGGCAGGTTGTCTCATTTCTGCAGACGAACCCTGCAGAGAGAGGACATTGATTTCTTAGTTACCAGCCTGACCAAGGCCCTCCTTGCCTATTTACTCATTTTGGCCAGATGGCCTACTGTAAGGAAAAGATAGTTTCAGACTTCTTTTATTTCACAATAGTGGAGTTTACTTTGCTCCTGGGAACTTTAAATGTTGCAGATTTTTTATACCTTTTCCTTGGAATATACCTCTACACAATTCCTTTCCTCCAGTATAGTTTCTTTGACTGTTTTTGATATGACAAACACTGAACTGCGGGACATTATATATACATATAATATCTACATCACAGTGGACTGTAGTCATGTATGGTGGCGCCTCAAGGTAAATAGCTTCATTTATATAGCGATTTTATCTAAAGCTCTGTACAAGGTTATGCTTATTCACGCACACATTTACACACCAGTGGCAGAGAGCTACCATGCTTGGTCTGGCCAAACATTGGGAGCAATTTGGGGTCCACTGCCTTGCCAAAGGACACTTCAACATGTGGTGGTGGAGATCACTGGATGACCCGCTCTACCTCCTCATCCACAGGCGCATTAAAGGAATAGCTCAGCATTTTGAGAAACACTGGGAATTAACCAGAAATGGCAGACATGAAAACTAGTTAGCAAGTCATCCACAGTGAAAAACAATGAACAAGTGACCAACTAAATACACCAGTGGGTGTGAACATAATCACACACACACAGGGGAAACCACTAGCTAATCACTGAACACATACACAGGAAGTAAAACAAGACAAAGACACTAAGGGCAGACAAACTACAAAGTAAAACAGGAAACACAAAACACACACGTCAACCACTCCAGAACCATGAAAAAACTACACTTGCTTTTTTTAAGGGGATGTACTGAATGATGGTTTAAATGGCCTCAATATTTATATTAAATAATTGAATAATAATCAATATGACTTTTATTTAACATTAATACCCTGCTCTTAAAAAAGATAAAACTGACAGCCACTTAATTTATTTAGTCTCATAACTCAAAACTATAAATGAATAATTAATTTAATAACTATAATCAACATTACCATCAATAGCTAGAAGGTTGAAGGAGGTTGACAACCTGCACTACAAGCGGAGCGTCTGCACAGAAGTACTGAGCGGACATATAAACTGGTGTTCCAGCATGTAACTCCCCCTAAAACCACAAAGAATGGAAGAAGAAGTTTGTTGATTGGCCAGTCAGTTGGCGGTCCACCACTGATCCAGACTGAAATATACATGTTAGCATTCTGACGTTTGTGTTTAGCTCAGCACCACTGTGTCTAAGAACCTCAGAGCTGCTAGCATGGCTGTAGTGTCTTAGTCTTGTTACATTTTTGTTTGGGTATGTTCATGTACACTAAGTAGGGCTGCACGATTTGGAGAAAAAGTCATATTGCAATTATTGTGAACAATATTGCTTAATTATCAAGGAGGATGATGGATGCATGAATTTATGTGAGTGAAGGTGTTGTAGTAGGCAAAAACAAGATAAATACCCAAAACCAAAGAAAAACAAACCTGGGAGAAAGACCCGGAAGGGAGGTCTGACCTCAGCTCAACAGCAGCTCCCTGCTGAATGAGAAGTTGCCTCCAGTTATCACAATCAGCTCTACTTCTACAAGGGAGAGAGAGATAGGCCACACCCACTCATGACCCTACAGGGCGTCACACAGCCAATAACGTCAATACGTATGATAGTATGATCACTATGGTAAATGTTCAAACAAGAAAATGCCTTAACTTCTGCTGTATATGTTTTTAAGTGTGTACCCATGTGCTTTAACTTTGTTTACACTGCTAAAAACAAACAAACACTTAATCATCACAGTATAACATCAAGTCAATTAAACTTCAGGGATATCAATCCGACCAGTTAGGGAGCTTAACGATTGTGAATCAATGTCACTTGTTTTGATGACACTGATGCACTGGAGAAGCAACAGCCTCAGACAACTGCTCTCTCCTTAAACTTCCTGACTGATTGTTCTCTAGTTTTGCATTTTGCTAGTGTCCTTGTCACTACTGGTGGCGTGAGGCGGTACCTGCATCCCATTCAGGTTGCACAGGAAATCCAGCTTCTCCAGGAGAGCACATCCATAGGTGCCGTCGCAAGATGTTTTTGCTGGGATTTCCAGCACAGTCTCAAGAGCATGAAGAAGATAACCAGGAGATGGGCCGTTACATGAGGAAAGCTGGACAGGGCTGTAGAATGGCATCAACTCAGCAGCAGACCAGTATCTGCTGCTTTGTGGGAGGAGGAACAGGAGGCCCCACAAAATGACCTTCAGCAGGCTACTGGTCTGCATGTTTCTAACCAAACTGTCAGAAACAGACTCTATAAGGGTCGCATGAGGGGCCCAACATCCTCTAGTGGGACCTGTGCTCACAGCCCAGCACTGTGCAGAGAAGACCAGAATTGGCAGGCATTAGCGCTTCACTCTCTTCCCAGATGAGAGCAGGTTCACACTGAGCATATGTGACAGACGTGAAAGAGTCTGGAGACACCGTGGAGAACGTTATGCTTCCGACTCCTCCTGGTGCAGTGGGCCCTCTGGCATGTTATGTATCGTGGCTGCCAAGTATCGCCACAGACTGTCCTGGAGCTCACGGATGCCCTGATCCAGGTCTGGGAGGAGATCCCCCGTGACCCCATCCGCCATCTCATCAGGAGCATGCCCAGATGCTGTCAGGAGTGCGTACAGGCACGTGTGGACCAAACACACTGCCGAGTCACAATATGTTGCCGTGATAAAAGTCACACAGGTTAGATCAGCCTGTGATTTCAGTTTTTCACTTTGATTTTCGGTGTGATTTTGAATCCAGCACTCAGGCGGCTGGTGATTTTGGTTTCTGATGATCGTTGTTACGTCATTTTGTTCTCAACTAATAAACAGTAAAGATTTTGAACTTTGAACTATTTTGTCCTTTGTTTTGTTTCGTTAGCAGTGATACAGCAATTGCTTAATTAAAATATCACAGTAGCTGCTAAAGGGGTAGCAGGAAATCAAGGGTTTGGGCCCAAAGCAGACAGCAGACGCAGAGCAGGGTCAGTGCAGTGATTTCAATGAGTAAGCCACAACAGGGGCAAAACGTACAGGATGGTGAAATGGCAGGCAGAGAGCTAAAACCAGGGAAAGTAGTCCAACACTAGCGAACAGATCTAAAGTCCTCCGTTCAAAATCCTGAAAAACAGGCAATGTCTAAAGTTAAACCAATAATCCAGAAAAAAGAGGGAAAAAAGACAGTAGGGAAAAATAGTTGTGACATGGGTCAGATGACAACAATGACCTGGCAAAGACAAAGGGAACAGAACAAACTAAATACTCTAGTGAGGACAAGATAATGAGACACAAACAATTACACAAGGGGGAAGTGAAGTGAACCGAAAGAGAAAAGAGGAAAATACCAAAGTAAAACAGGAAACAGGAAAAAACATAATGAAATAAACCAAACACAAGAGGAAAGGGAATGAATGAATAAATAAATAACATGGTGAAAACAACCTAAAAAACGCAGAGCAGGAATACACAAAGACAGGAAGAAAAGTTCAAAAAGACACAAGAGGAAGCATTCAACAAAATAAGAAAAATAATAACACTTAAACCCAAAACTGTGACATAAAACTACTGAACAAGCTTCAGCCAACCTTTTACAACCACCATCAGATGTTTTAAAATCTGATTATTTTTTTGCGAATACCTTGGAGGTCATTATTTTTTCTGTGTTCCACTTAGAACAGTCTCCAGTTAGCATTTTGTGTTGGATACACCCCAAAACCTGAAAAACAAACTGAGCCAAACTCTCCGGCATGCCTTCATCTGCCACTGCTTGACTTTCATAGTGCATGTATGCATGAAAACATGTTTTTCATGTTTTTACTACAACATGTCTGTGCTTTGATGTGTTCCAATGTGTTTCTGTGTTTGGCTTTAATAGTTTAAATGTGTGCCAAATGTGGTTGCCCTATCTTCTCACCGCAAAATCTGTATTTTTTATGCACTGGTGTTGTTTTAGAAATATATTTAGTTTGTTCAGGTGAGAAGGGTAAGGTGCTTTGGTGAAGGGGACCTCTTTATTTCTCCACTCTCTCTTTCATCCCCCCATGTATGTGCCTCCTACACTTTGGTGCACTACCCCCCCCTCTCCTCCTCTTGTCCTCCATCTGCGCTCCACTTCAGCCAACACGCCTGCCATCCAAGAGGAGAAGGGTGCTTGCTTCCGTTTGGTCAGCTCAGGGAAGCAGTGTTTGCACCCGGTGTCTGCCCAGCTGAGCAAACAGCTCTGCTGCTGCAGTGTGGGCAAAGCCTGGGGCCCTCGTTGTGACAAATGCCCCCCTCCAGGAACAGGTAAGGCCACCAGCCATGTCAGACATTTATCCTGCCTCAGTGAGAACTAAAGAGCCCAAGGCTTTCTTTTCTCAACTGTATGAAGAGAATATCATGCCAAACACCAATTAACAATCTTGCAGTTTAGTTTGGCCTTGCCTCAACACACTTGGACTTGTGTCCTGCAATACGTATTGCTTATTATAAGGATGCTCACACACAGATCAAAATGAACAAGCCAAAACAAACACCCAAACACCTGCAAAACTAATGACACGTCCATCAACCTCAGATGTACTTTTAGTTTCAAATGTTAGCATGCTAACCCATGGTAAAAATGACCTGTTAAACATCAGCACATCAGCATGTTGGCATTGTCATTGTGAGCATGTTAGAGCTCTGATGTTTGCATTTAGCTCAAAGCCCAAGTACAGCCTCACAGAGCCGTCTGCATGGCTGTAGACCTAAACTAGAAGCTTACCTGGTTTATACCACTGCCCGCTGTATTTTAGTGAAATATTATTGTAGCAGTAGTGGAGACAAGATGTCCTGATATACAAAAATAACTGCAAGCAGAGGCAAAGTATGAAGAAATGGACACATGTGCCTCTTATTAATGGACAACCCAAGTTTCAATTTAATGAGTCACAATGGCCACTTGAGTGCTGCCTTAAACAATCACAGTGTAAGATGCATTTTATTGTGTGTTGTAAAATTTATAAGCAGCACAAATATTTTGTGTTTGCATGAAGGACTTTGCCAATTTTTTGTGTGGTGATTCCTTCATATAATCAATGCTCTATCTTGGGATTAAACTGTTATAATTACGAGTACATCAGTAAATATTCTGTAAAAAAGGAGCGGTATTTTAAATTGTGTGTGAATTTCATTCTATATTAAAAGTCAGGTATTGAACTACATGAAGCCTTTCAGCTCTGGAGCTGTGGAGTCAGGATCTGTCGTTGCGAGTCACCTGCTGCCCCCGTGTTCCTGCTCGACACCCTCTGTTTCAATTATCATCACAGAGTACGGTCTAGACCTGCTCTTTTATGAAAAGCGCTCAGAGATAACTGTTGTTGTGATTTGGCGCTATATAAATAGAATTTAATTTAATTGAATGCAAACAGAAGCCATTCTGTTTTCAGTTCATTACAACAGCAATATAACGTCTAATAATCTTGCATGATTATAAACTCGAATAAAAGACAGGAATTTTAAAAAGGGAAGGCAAAAAAGATCCTGTGTGTGTCCCATTCTTTTTTCCCCCAGTTCGTACTGTCTGCATGGGTTTCACAGCTTGGCTAAGTAGTGGCTTTTAGTTGCTTTGAGAATACATAAACAAAACATTTTGCAGTAGCTATTGTCACACCCACATCTGCTACTTTCCTGTTTATCTTTTTTTCCCTACACAACTCATTATGTCAGTACAGTTTAGTAAGGCCTTTTTTTGGGTTTTGGGAAGTTGCAGTTGGTTCGACCTTTAAGATGCCTGTGCATAGTAATGTATTTTAAAATGTTTGGTTGTTGCAAGCATGTGTTACCTTTAAGCCTGATGTGCTGTCATGTATTTTGTGGCGATCATCATGGAGGTTTAGGTGGAATATATAGGATACAGTTTGACTTTAGCTGTTCTTGTGCATTATGTCATTGTTAGAGAAACAAATTACTGTGGTTGGAGAGAAAAGTTTAACTTACTTGTTGTCAGGCAGAATTTTGCTATTCATTTTCCATTCACATTCAGACCCTTGTACTTTCCCACAATGATCATCCAAAAAAACAACACAACATTATAGTGATAGCAATGATGATCTCTTAAGTGATTGCGCCTACAAAATAAAAGCATAAGAATGTCTTTACAGCAGTACTTTATGTCGTGTTTAATTGAGAGCTTTTACTTTTCAAAAGAGTCTTTGGCTTGCCTAACACACCTCTGAAAAAGTCGTCAGAAAACGTGAGATCGGAAACGCAGGAATTTCCTCTGCCTGGAGATACTCAGAGGCGTGTGACCTCTGACATGTTAGCAACTGTAAGTCGCTTTGGATAAAAGCGTCAGCTAAATGAAGAAATGTAATGTAATGGAACACACTCCTGCTTAATGTGAACATGTAAAACTATCTCTTCATAATTAATTTGTTGAAAAGGGAGAAAGGTAACACAAGCAACAAATGGGGATTGAACACACAAATCTTCAAACAGGAGTCCTGTGCACTACTGACTGAGCTAAACAGCAGCCAGTAAATGGCAGATTATAAATGATAAACTGACTATCTTCTGGCCTGTCATCTAATGACTTGAAAAAAATTTGGCCCGATGCCAGACTGATTTGCCGACCCCTGATCTAAGTCATCCCCTAATTACACCAGGTTATCTAAATAGAGCTACTTAGACAGCTTGCAAGTTAAATCTTAGTGATGGTAATTAGAATCATGTAATGCTCGTTGTACCCTTGACCTTTTACTTTAGCAGTGTTAACAGTGTTTGTCATGGCTTGAATGAACTGCATATTGTTTTGCAACACTTGCACAGAAGGGGTTTGCTGCTGCCTCATATTTACAGTTTCACAAAAAAAAAATGTGCCGGTGTGTGTTGATGAAAACTAGCGAAGCATTCCATTACACACGGGCATTTAGACTCTCCGGGTCCCTTGTCAGCATGGTGTAAAGCAGGCCATCGTAACTGCAAGGACTGGTATCAGATCAGAAAATGATTGACAAAAATGATTCCCAGCGGTGTTGCAGAAATGCCAGTCAATTCCTACATTGAGTCAAACTTAAAGCTAGCACTGAGTTAATGCCTGCATGGGTCTTTACCCGAGACCCAAACCCAGATTGTGTGTTTTAGAAAGAGAGGCATTTCTTAATAACTTAGATAGTTAGAGACCATCTTGTGATGGGATCAGCCGCGACACCCATCAACATGGTGACATTCTGACCCATGAGGACTCAGCAGTCATTTCTACATTATTACATCCATCGCCAGTCAGACCACACCGATCTTCAAACTCTGCCTTCATTTTGAACTCTACACCTTGCAAAGTTGTGATGCTATTCAGACTAAATCTGTCCACAGAATCAGAATCAGCTTTATTTGCCAGGTATGTGTACACATACGAGGAATTTGACTCAGGATTGTACATTGCTCACGATGTGCTTACTTAATACAATAATAAAATCAGACCCAGGCTACAGTATAGAAAACACATATATACACACTATAAACAATATATAAAATAATACTAATAGACATATACATCAGATAGGCATATTCAGGACCATACACTTTGGCAAAGGACTCACTTTTGCCATGATGACACACACAGACTCACAAGGTGTTAACAATACCAGCCATGCTAACACATAACCGAAATGCACCAAGTCTAAAGCTTTGTGCAACAAGGGGTACATCCCAAGTCTCTTAATTGCAGCAACATTTTCCTCACTTGGGTCTTTTCCTTGCATCTTAGTCCCTCCCACCAGTGTTACATGGAGAGACGCAAGGAAACCATACTAATACTAATACTAATACAGGCACACAGTCCGAGCAGCATGTTTTCTCTCTGTAGCTATTACCTGTTTAACAAACACTGACACATGAAGAACAACCTGTAGTCTGTATTTATACTGCATCCTGCTCAGAAGCACATGATCATTCCTATTAGCAAAATGCTTTTCTATTCATTATCAGCATCTGTATTTCATTATTATTATCTCCGATTTGAATAACCCAGAATATCATTATGCGTCAATCAACAGGTATCCAATAAGGGTGCATGTTGGCCAGTAAAAGGCTTCCGTGAAGGCTACTCTTGTGTATCCTCGCTCATGGCTCCACAGAGATCGCTCCTCGCTCCTTAGAGCAGAAATACGAGCTTTGGGTCGGCCTGCAAGATGGCGGACCAGAACAACTCAAGCGACGATTGAGGAGCGAGGAAATGACAAATAGGAGACTTGTGATGTACCCACTATGATTCCAACCCACCCAGAGACCTGATACTTTGTTGTGGCCCATTTATCCCACTGCATCCCACTGAGGGTAGTTGTTGTAGAAATACTGCAGTAGGAGAAATACAACTACTACTACTACTAGTAAGCTAGTTTGTCGGTTTAAACAGGGGAACAAAGAGGTTTACCAGAGCATTCTGACAGAGCTGTGAGGGGAGTGGAGGTGAGAGCTTGTAGAACACACAAATACATGAGGGATGAATGGGCAGCCCTGCCGAATGTTCACTGTGAATCCTTTTAAATACTCAACTAACTGAACATCAACGAGAGATATTAGTGGCTTTTTAGATGTGGTGCAGCTGAAGTTTGAGGGAGGATGCTTGGCATTGGTTTACTTAATTTTCCAGAAATTGGACTGGAAAAGTGTTACTACAGCTAACTAAGAGATGTGCACTGTAATGTGATGTCTATGAGTTCCTCATCACCTCTCCATGGGAGTTGACCTTTAGTCTTTGCATTCTTTATTTCACTATTATTTTATCTCTTTTTAGATGTCATTATCTCATTAATACCTCCATCTTATCATGTGGGAAATGTGTTCTTGGTAAAAAGTTGTTTAGATGAGTCATTGAAATTCTGACTCTGTAGCTTTATTGCCTTGTCAGGTCTATTTAAAATGTTGTGTGCATTCATGGAGACTAATTTGAGCCATTTGAGGATATAACTATAAAGTGTGCTGGTGATCCACATGAGGTTTTTTCTAGTACCTAACATTTGAACTTTGTTATTATTTACTAGTTATATTAGCATTGTCAGAAGCCTTGCAGCTTCTAAATGTGTAGACTATAATCTCTAATAGTCACACCAAAAGCATTTATAATAGATAATAGTATCAACATGTCTCTTTGTAAATATTATTTCCACTTGTATGATAAGCCCTTGTATTTCTTTTTATTACGTAGCTAAGTTCAAAGAGATCTGTCCCGGTGGAATGGGCTACACTGTTCTACCAAATCCACCTGTCAATAAGCCAGTCACCGTTTACCAGAAGCCCATTGACCCGCTACACCCTCAACCCCTGCCAACACCAGAAAGACCAGTGGAGGCTTTTGGCAAACCAGAAGAGATTATACCAGGTGAGTCTCTAGCACGTAACATTACCAGTGCACATTCAGTTGGTTTAGTTTAATTTGAAATGTGTAGCACAGGTTAAATCTAGCTTAGCACAGGCTAGATTCTTTACAACTGTAACGTGGGAGGAATACAGGTTAATGAAATCAAATAATAACATTGAGCAGTTGATTAAGATCAAAACGATGGCAGACCAATATTTATCCATTTTTAAAACACTTGTAGGGTCGCAACAGCCCAAACACCTTTTTATCTTCTTCCAGCTTCTCCAAGGTAGCCCAAATAATTCCTAGTCCAGCTGGAAAATGATGACCCTCCAGTGCGCACCAAGGTCTCCCACAAGTCTGTTATGCCTACAGCATTTGGAATGTTAAAACTTAAAAATCCTTTGAGGCTAACTCATAATAAAAGTTCACCATCAGTGATCATTTAGATGCCAACAGAAGGACTGGGTGTAATATTCTCTTTCAAAAAATAATATTACGGTCAGTTTAATAGCAAACACAACCCACGATCTAAATTGCGATTTTTTTCTCAATTTTGAAATGGTAGAATAATATTGATAAAATTGCACTAAACAGATTTCAAAATGGTGATTTAAAACTAAGTTTAATTTGAAGTTATAAATAGAAGCCAAAAGATAACATGACCATAAAATTAAAATTTTCAAGCACGTACGGTGACGTATTGTACACAATACAATACGTCACCATACGTCATTTATCCAATCAGCATAGCCAGCTAGATGGCTGCATCTGACATAGCGAACTTGTAACTCAGAACTGATCAGATGTTTCTGCTGTCGGCGTCTTGCCCGGTTGTGCAGAGTTCTGCATGCCTGCTTGTATGCACCTCGCGCTCATTTGTGCTGTTAAAGGAGGTGGATGCAAATCTCGGCAGGTAGCCTTCATCATCTGTTCTGCCGAAATATGCATTCACCACTTAAAGGTCCTTTTCAGGTTCTTTGCTCTGCACACTGATCAAAGGGAGTTATCACCGCATATTTTTGCTGAATCTCAATGAATGCTGCTTCTACTGAGTGTAATAAAATATTAACGACTCTAAACGTTCATAAAATATATTAATATATATACTTAGAATCATTTATCACCATTGATGAACCCCATAAAGGATATTATAGCGTTTAAAAGCATTATTTGGAGGTGCATGCAATTCTTGGAGGAATTCTTGTTAACCATTGATAGAAGGCAGGACGGATCCATGCTTTCATGTCATTTATGTCAAAATCTGACCCTACTATCTGAATGGCGCAGCTGAAATCGAGACTCATCAGACCAGGCAACGTTTTTTCCAATCTTCTGTTGTCCAGTTTTGGTGAGCCTGTGTGAACTGTAGCCTCAGTTTCCTGTTCTTAGCTGGCAGGAGTGGCCCCTGGTGTGGCCTTCTGCTCCTGTAGCCCATCTGCTTCAAGGTTCCACGTGTTGTGCGTTCAGAGATGGTATTCTGCATACCTTGGTTGTAACAAGTGGTTATTTGAGGTACTGTTGCCTTTTTCATCTGGAACCAGTCCGCCCATTCTCCTCTGACATCAACAAGGCATTTTCGTCCACACAACTGCCGCTCACTGGATGTTTTCCCTTTCTTGGACCATTCTCTGTAAACCCTAGAGATGGTTGTGCATGAAAATCCCAGTAGATCAGCAGTTTCTGAAATACTCAAACCAGCCCGTCTGGCACCAACAACCATACCACCTTCAAATTCACTTAAATCCCCTTTCTTCCCCATTCTGGTGCTCAGTTTGAACTTCAGCAAGTTGTCTTGACCATGTCTGCATGCCTTAATGCATTGAGTTGCTGCCATGTGACTGGCTGATTAGCTATTTCTGTTAACAAGCAATTTAACAGGTGTACCTAATAAAGTGGTCGGTGAGTATGAGGCTTAATTGATGTCCTTGATCATTGTAAATGCACAGACTATGGTCACAAATATATATATATGATAATAATAATAATATATATTTGTCAACACAAAATGCAATCTACAAATATATTTGAAATTTGTCATGATCCATAAATATAAAACACAATACACAAAAAGAAATCAGTCACTAGTTCTAAACCATAATACCATAATGAATGCAAATTATTACAAAAAATAGGCTAATTGGGCTTCACATACTATGATTCACCCAAGTAAAAATTATATACATTCATAACTGAACACATTAATTAATTACTCATTGTATCTTAATATCAGAGGCTTATACATTTACAAAGGCTGCCATTTTTAACAAAACACCAATATACTGTCTAAACACAATAGGCAGCGATTAAGGCAGCAAGATAGCCGCTGATTATTCTACAGAGTGAGGTAAGCTAAATCAAACCTTACAAGACGTCTCCATGAATCTCACAAACTAAGCACACTAATAACGGGGAACACTAAGCAATGTACAGACTAATAACAATTATTTTATTTATACTGTTTAAGAAACTGCAGGAGAAATTGGTTTGCACAAAATCTTTTCAGACCTCATGGGTAAGTAGGAGCAGAGATAGACCACAGCAAACATAGATTGTAAATATTAAACTTTATTACAAAGGCATACTTCACCAACCAAACTATGAATGGGTGATAATAATTCAGCACATGAGTTATCATGGAACCCACATGAACACAATTAAAGTCCACACAGGATTAATTACACAGAGTGCAGTCTGGAGTGGCATATCTGGGTCCACATAGCATGTGCGTCTTCCCACAAGAAAAACTCACACAACAGAGCAACCATGAAATAAAAACGATTAATTTGTAATGAATACGGAATATTAACACACCCTGTCCCCATTACCACATTAATACATCATCAGTGACAACATACATCAGCAGATGCGTTGATGATGTGGTGATCACTAAGACAATAAAATCATTCCCCTGGATGAATGGAGAGGTGAGGGCTCTATCCAGAGCCAAAAAAGCTGCCTTATGGTCAGGTGGTAAGGAGGCCAAGTGGACACAGCAGCAGAGACTGGAGAGAAACCTCAACACCAACAACAACAACAAAGATATGTGGCAGGCCATCAAAAACATCACAGGCTACAAAAGCAGGAGCACCCCCCATCATGTGTGAGGCAACATTACCAGATGAACTTAACACCTTTTATGCTCACTTTGATCTCCTCAACAAGGAGTCAGCTGTAAAGTCTACTCCACCTCCAGAGGACCGGCCCCTGTCAGTATCCACAGCAGATGTGAGAGTAAATATGAGGAAAGCTGCTGGGCTTGATGACATCTTTAGCAGTGTAATTAAAACATCATTAGCTAGCTGATGTTATTATTGGAATTTTCAACATCTCACTGTCTCAGGAGAGGGTTCCCACCTGCTTCAAGACAGCCACCATCAATCCTGGACCTAAAAAGTCTGCAGTGTCCGGTCTGAACGACTACCGCCCTGTGGCTCTCACCCCCTTTCTGATGAAGTGCTTTGAGGAACTGGTTCTTCAGCACATAAAGAACAACATCCCAGCCAGCCTGGACCCTCAGCACTTTGCTTTCAGAACCAACAGATCCACAGAGGATGCCATCTCCACTGCCCTCCACTCAGCCCTCACACACCTTGAGAAAAACAACACCTACGTCAGAATGCTGTTTGTGGATTTCAGCTCAGCGTTCAACACAATCTCCCCATGAAGCTGATCAGCAAACTCAGCACTCTGGGCTTGAGTACAGCTCTTATTTTGAAAGGCATATTTAGGAGACATGACATCACAAAGCAAGCAATAGCCCTGATTGGACTGCATTTGTGGATCGTATTCACAGTCTCCATGGTAACAGTTTCAGAATGATTTGTAGACCAATGGAAATACAAATACACTGTGGTCTCAGAGATGACACTTGATTGCTGAATTTGCACAGAATTTGACAAAAGACTTTTTTTCTAAAACAGTAGTGTCAAAATTCTGAAAACAAATGTCAAATAGAATAGGACCCTCACACGCAGACAAATCATTTTGCATTCATTTAAATTCTGGTTTTCAAGTTACTGATTCATATTTGTTGATCATTTGTTGTGGATTTCAACAACATTTGTTTTGTGTTTACAAATTGTAATATGTATGTATTACTCACAGTGTGTGCATTTACAATGATAATGACATCAATTTACCCCCATACAGTTGCTTTCTCTTATTGTATGCATGAAAATACTACATACAAGATGAGATTAAGCTACCATACTTCTATTTAACACAAAGAAGTAATAAAGTAGATCACCAACTAATGACTGTTTTCATTATTGCATTGCATTGCATTAAAAAAACATAAATCATTTAATGTGAATTGTCAAAATGTCAGAAAAGGCTCTGGGAATTTATCATAATTTGTTCAATGTGATGTTTTCAAACAGCTTGTTTTGTCTGACCAGAAAATCCCAAAGAGATTTAATTTACAATTTTAAGTGTTTGTTGTTGTAGTACTAAGTGAATTTTCAATTTCTCAATGCACTCTAAACACAAAAATTTTGAGTTAGCAAGTTATGTCATGTCATTTTTCTAGGAGTGGACTGTATTTTAATTGCTGCTTCACTTGAAAGAAAACATGTAAATGAATGCGTTACAAACTGACGCCGATGGGTCTTGACTATGCGTCCATATGTGACGAGTTGGGAGTAAGAACAGTAATTGAGTCTCTGCTCTAAATCAAATCATGTTTATTTGTCACATACGCAGTACAATGTGTAATGAAATTTGTCACCATCACCTTTCAGCTGGACATCAACTTGCCTCCTAAGTGGAAAGCCACAGTCTAATTCTGTTGCTAATTACAGACTCCTACAACAGTTAGATCCTTGAGATTTTAAAACATTCATATTAATCAGCTGTCTTTCGTCTGGCAGTGACCGAACTCAGCGGAGTGTCAAAGAGATTCATATCTTTGAAGTATTGCATTAAGGCAATACATAATGAATCATTAGTACTGCTGTTTTGTACATTAATGTTTGAGGTGTGGTCTGAATTTATCAGCCCACTGAAAAGTGTCCCACTGAAAAATGCCTACACTACGTTGAGACACTGCAAGTTAATAAAACACATGCAAACACAAGAAAATAAAGAAAGGAATCTCACCAATTTGACAACATATATGTAGCATTTAGAAAAATACTGCAAATACAGAAAAAATAACCAAACAGGACACTAAAAAGTGATGAACATGGCTATGACTGTTTCCATGGTTTGGGTCAGAATTCTGCTTTTCCAGTTTGTAGGCTTTAAAAAAGGGAGATGACTAATAAACAAGTATTTTATTTTTCTGGTATTTTTGTCTAGAGTAAAGATGGGAATAATCAAGAAATCCTGTCTAGTAAATACTGAACTAAATGTCACTACTTTACAAACAGAGAGACACACAAAGGAAATGTACTATCCGAAATCTCCTCCCCCTCAAAAAATGTGATGTGTAACTTTTTTCAAACATCAAAGCTGAGGTCTGATCTCTCTGTTATCTTTCTGCTATCATTGTCAGTATGAAAACGCATGATAAAGTGTGTTCAAGCCATTTTCATCACTTATTTTGTGGATTTTGTTACGTTTTCTGTAACTCTGTATATGTGCATGTTTTTCAAATGCTGCACATGTGTTGATGAAGATCTTTTCTTATTTTGCTTATTTTTCTATTTGCACCTGTTTTCTAAGGTGCAGTGCATTGAGCTCTCAGGGCCACCGTACTACACTGAGGGATGAACAGCAATTACAGCTCCAAAGTAACACTAGAAACCTTGCTGTATGATACCTCTTGCATGTGATTATAAACCCAGATCCTAAAAGAAACATCCCTCATGTGACATTTGTTTGTAGAGGACAAGGATTAAAGTGGTTTGGACCACATTCTTTCAAACACAGCCCAGCCCACAGCCCTTCAGAAGAGGGAGAGAGAGGGGGAGATAAAGCTGGCTGAGAGAGGGAGAGGAGCTTCACCCTCTCCTGTTATTATTCAGGACATGCTTGGCAGCCACCAGGGGAAGGAGAAACTTGCAACATCTTAGCCAAAGCCAGACTTTGAGTCCAAATTACTGCTAAGCTTCGCTGGAGCAGAAGAGTATAGAGTTTTCCAGGCACACAGGACAGGTTTCAAAAACAATTGGACAGAAATCCACCACTCAAAATCTGTGTAGATTAGTATTTGGATACCACCAGATAGTAATGTGGCGCCTGGCAGCTGTACAGATTGGCATTTTGGAAGCACAGAAAACCGTGCTGGGTGGGAGGAAGAGAGGAGGGATTTTTTAATATCCCTGGTGTTGTTATATTTTACTATGAGTGTGGTCTGCAATGTTTATAACCTTTTCACAACATGAAACCACAGTCTATGAATAATTATTTAAGATAGTAACTCCCCATGATACAAACACTAAATTATGTTACAAACTTACATTTAAAATGTGTTATTTCTTTTTTTCTGTGGTCAGTAGCAACAACTGCACCAGATCAGGTAGGTTGGGAGCTTCAATGAGTGAAAATGTTGAAGCAGTTTGCATGCACAGAGCCGCTGAGGAATTGCAGAATCACCTTTGCATGAAGTCAGAAACGTTGCTGCATGACTTTCGGCTGGTCAGCACTAAGCAGTGAGTCAATGTGTACATTTTTAATAGATTCTCATTGTCCCAAAAATCCAGACAAGCAGTATATGCAGAAATGGCAGGCATTTTTCTTTCCGGCTTTTTGGCTAAGCTGTTCAGCTTTGCTCTGTTTTTAAACTGCGGTCAGTTGCCATGCAAGCTGAATGCTAATCTGCTTCACAGCACAATGCTTGTATTGCATGACAGAAGCAGTGTGCAAAGCTGAAATAATTAAATTTGGACTGAAAGTAATGCATACGGTGCTCTGTTGACCTTGTCCCTTTGTATTATTGTGTGTGTCTTGTCATTGAAGGAGCTGGTAGTTCCTGTGATTAGTAACAGGCCAGTAGTTGAACCTATCCTGCCCCAGCTATCTCCGGGTGTATCCACTGTCAAGATCGAGGCAGCTTACCCAGGTGTCTTCTTCAATACCCTTTAAACTCTGTGGTACGCTGGGCAGTTTAGGACATCTCAGGCACAGCTTGTCAAGCTCCGGGCACTTTGCCAGCCTCAACTGTACTACAACTGTAGTATATCAGGTCCAGTTGTACTGTAATTCACACTTGTAAGTTTGGCAAACGTGAGAAAAACAAATGATGCATGCTAATATAGCACTGAAAGGACAGGTAAGCTAAGAAAGACAGACTGCTGAAAGTACAGTGAGTCTGCTGCTGACGAGATGAGTCTGATGTCCTAAAAAGGCCACCGTACTGTGATCTTTCTGCACTAGCATTATAAGAAGTAGTTAAATTATATACATATATACTATTTATTTATGACATTTGCAACTGGTCTTTTAGTGTTTTATCATTTCAGAACATTGATCTCCTTTACTGATAGACCTGCCACTTTTTGGAGGTTCTGTGATGTACATATTACTTTCTAGTCCTCAGTATTTGATATTTATATGGTCATAAATTTATACAATTTATATGAAAAAGGCCCGAGCATGAAACATGCAATTTTGGCAACATGCTCAAAAATTCACCAAACTTTGCACAAAAACCAAATGTGGTGAAAATTTACCCGCCGTATGGTTTTTGCGCACGAGCATGGCAAAATGGCTCGCAAGCGCCCCCTAAAAAGCAGCCACTGGGCCACGTTTCACCGTATTGTACAAAATTTTTGTGGCATATGTATCGGGCCCAGACCTTCATAAACACCTCAGGAAGTGATGCCCTAAATCCAAAAGGAAGTCGGGCATTTTGAATTTAATGGTCATTTTTGGTGTTTTACAGGTGCGTACTTTAACAAACTCCTCCTAGGGAATTAATCAGATCGACTTAAATTTGTTCTGTGCATTCTAAAGGCATTGACCATGAAAAGCTGTGCTATCTGTGGGTTTTCGTGGAAGGGTGTGTACGTAGTGTGGCCTCGAATATCGATGATTCGCCATGAAACAGGAAGTTGTTATAACTTCAGTGTACATGCTCAAATCTCTAATGACCTTTACATGTTTGTTAGAGTCCCAACCTGAACACATTTACACACCAATTTTCACTCAATGTCATAGCACGGCCTACTGGCAACGGGAAGTAAACCCTTTGTGACACAAATCATTTGATATAATTTACATTGCATTTTCAAAGCGAGGTTCACGATTCATGTACTGGTACACACTATATAATTAGCGGTGTTGTCTACACAGGAAGTGGCGTTTAACTCCTTCATCACTGGTCCAAAACGCACTATAATTCAGGGCCGCGTCTCCTGACCTCCAGCCACTGTGCCTCAGCCGTGCCACGCGTCACGACGTGAGGTTCCAACGCTGCTTGCAGCTTTAATTGTTAATTATCATTCATACCAGTATAAACCAATATTTTGCAATAATAATAATTTCCATGTACAAAGTAATGTTGGGACACTTAAAAGGTTTCTTCAGCTTGAGCTCATGTATGTTAATGCATGATATTCAAGTTTAGATGTGACGTAAAAAATTATTTTCCTCTGAATATGAAAGTAGCATTAAATCACACGGCCGACAGCATTCATGGGTAAATGATTTGTTATCTTATTAGCTTGTAGTTATATAATGATGGACAACGAGAAACACTTATTGGGCACTAATAGATTTACCTGCCTGCTACTAAACACAATCCCTGTTTGTCTCCAAAACAACATGCAGTTGTAGATTTATCAGCTGTGTTTATATAATACCATCTTTTGTTAAACTTTATGCTGAAAGTGCTCTGTTGGGACATTGAGATGTGGAAACAGATGTGGTCATTGGTCTGAATGTTTGTAGAATCGTTCTGTGGTGACATGTTGTGTAATCTTCTGGACTGACGTACCTGGTCAGCAACAGTGCTTAGGTGGGCTCTGGCATTCAAATGATGATCAGCTGGTATTAAAGGTCTAATCTTTGCCAAAAAAATATTCCATACTGTTAGTCCAGCACCAGGGCTTTGTCTCTTTACCACAAACCAAGTTGAATCCTTGCATTCATGCAGTTTATGCCAAATTCTAACCCTCTCATCAGCATGTCGGACAACATTGCTCTTGATAGCTGCGAGGAGTGGTACTCAACAACTTAGAGGGTTAACGAAATGAACATTCAGGGTTGCCCTGCACAGTGCTAATGTACTCTTGTGTGTATACCTGTAGCCTTGCTGTTGCCTTGCAGGATGGTCATTCTCCTCTGACCTGTCATTATCGGTGCATATTCATTCACAACACTTCTGCTGAGCGAGGATGGAAGAGTCGGGTTGGCTGTCATCTGTCTGTTCAAATTTTTATACATCTTAGCCACTACTCGCTAGATTGTCACAAATTTTGGCAGGGATGTTCAAGGTCATTCAAGGAGCATGACATGGAATTATTTTGTCAACCTTTTGTTTAGCATCTATTTTGTCTGATCGTCACAGTGAGAGGAAAACAGCGAAATTAGACTGTAGAAGAGATAAATGAACAGGCTGATGACTGGATTGCACTCATAGATAACAAAAGGTATCTGCATTTTCATGTTTGTGGAGAATATAAGCTCTGGAAAGATAAAGTTACGAGTTGAAGGCATTGAGGTTTTTTTTAAGTAATGAGAGTTATACCACCTTCTGTTTCCAAGGCAGGTTTTAAGAAGAGCTAATACGGCTTTGTATTTTCTGCATAACAGTGAAAAGTTGTACTGTATTTTACAAATACAGGGAAAAAATGCATTCAAGATGTAAGTACCATGTTTGGAAAAAATGGGTAGCAATATCAACTGGATGGAATTAATGCCTGCAACTGTGTGTTTTGATTCGGTAGAGGTTGTTGAGAGGAGCTCTCCACCTGCACCAGTCGAGATCCTCCCATCTAATGCAGGCCAGGACATCGCTCCCACCCAGTCAGCTGGTAAGACTAAAACATTCTTTTCTTTTTTCCTCATCCGTTGTGGTCTATTCTCATCTGTTTTTAGAGTTCTCTTGCAAGTTAGTCAGGTGAAGCACAGCTGAAAGGGTGCTGGTTGCTAAATGAATAGTCCTTGGTGTGTACCTGATCCTCTCCAATGTGTCCCTTGTTCAATAAGACAGCTTTGGAGTTGTTCGGAGCCATATTTCCTCTTTTGATATAGCTAGGCTAGCTTTTTTCGGGGGGGGGGCACGGTGGTCCATGGATCACACTATGGCCTCAAAGCAAGAAGGTCACGGGTTCCCGGCCTTTTGTGTGGAGTTTGCATGTTCTCCCTGTGTCTGCGTGGGGTTTCCCCCACCATCAAAAACATGCTAGGTTCTTCAGTCAGTACCATTGACCAGACACTGATATAAAAATCAGGAGTTACCTTTTTTCTGCTGTCTCCACTTTTTGTGCTGAGGTTATATACATTTTATTTGAACATTCAAACTAATTAGTATGAAATATTTTTCTGAAATTTGTTCTTAGCAATTCACAAAGGTCCATTTACTAACTATGTGTTCGTCAGTGGATGGAGTTTCCTTAGTTCAGTATTGATTGAATATTGCAGAATACTTACACAGGAAGAAGCACTGTGGAATTCATCCACACATCCCTCTCAAAGACTGTTGGGCAACGAAACAAACAGGCAGACTGTGAAATCATGGCCATTCTATGGTAATGACTTGATTTCACTCCTAAATTTCAGGAGGGAGGGATGTAAACTTTTATTTGAAGCAGTAGCCGGGCCAGAGCATGCTGAACTCAAGAGGGAACATGACCAGTTGCACTTTAAGCAAGCATTTATGAAGAGTTGAAACAATAAGACATAAAGCTTGTGCGGTATCAAGAGGATAAAATGAGTTATTGATTTGAGAGATTGTCTTTATGAGTTGCTGTGGAGAAGTCAGTTTAAATTACAGAAAACAAGACAACTGGTAGGTTGTGTTAAAATGACAATAGTAAATGAAACTAATGAATCATATGAATTTAATTAACTGTTCAGATAACCGCATTGCAGTCACCCTGCCTGCAGTTTGGTACACAGTGTGAACTTATCGTGCTTTCATATTAAGCAGTTAACTTTATTATTAAGCTCTGTATAGTGTGTGGGACTTACTGTATAATTAGTTCCAAAACTGCTGCTGTGCTAATACCCTCTCTCTCTCTCTCCCTCTCTCTTTTGGACCAGAGGTGGATCAGTGCCAGATCAGCCCTTATATTTGTGGCTCAGGGATTTGTTACAACACAGCTGAGAGTTACACCTGCCACTGTGATGAGGGATACCGCCTGAATGACGCCCAAACCACCTGTGTAGGTGAGGAATCCAGTGGTCAAAGGTGGTTATTGAGGTCAAAGGTCATCTTGTGCAGCTTGTCCCTAAATTATAACAAGCTGTGAGTCGGGCGATTTTACCTGAAGCTCTGCATCAGTGTTCTCTATCATGCTAAGATAACATGCTGTCCTACAATAGGTTGATTGTTTTAGAAAATAATCAGCAGATTACTCCATAATGAAATGAGTTGCAGTCTGATTCTGAAATATTTAAAAGATTAGCTCAACTAATATATATATTTACAACAAAATGACAAACATGGTGTTAGCCACTTCAGCTAAATAGAGGAGTTAAGCATTGTGTTCCCTCCAGGTGTAAACTGATGTTGTCCTATGTCGTGTGCTCTGGTGTGTATGTGCAGATGTAGATGATTGTCTGGAAAGCCCATCTTTGTGCTTTGGCGGTCGCTGCGAGAACACAGAAGGCAGCTTCCTGTGTGTTTGTCCGAGGGGATTCCTCGTCGATGAAGAGGGATCCAGCTGTGTTGGTAAGTACTCAGCTCATGCTGCCAAAGCATACTTTGATGCTTCTTTGAAAGACTCTGTTACATGTAGACAATTTGTTCTGTTTTCCTATGCACACACACAAACACACACACACGCACGCGCAAACACGTGTAACAGGCTGAATGTAACACACACCAAAAGCAGAAACTGATGTAATGAGTTCTGAATTTGGTGAAGTGATACTCATCGTTCTCTCCCATCTAAAAAGGACTGCTAAATATTCTGTTCTACTGTCTGCACTGGTTGGTGTGGTGGCATTCCTGAACTCATATGATTGGCATGAGTCAGATGACTGAGCTAAGAATATCTTAATGTTTTGAGATGTGTTGTGTAAATGGGTTGTCTTTATCTTTTGTTCCACACTGAAAACTTTGCTTCATTCTGCCACTTTGCTCGTCACCTTGGAAGTGAAAAGCAGTATTACAGTAAACATACCAGTGTAATTCATACCTTATCTACAATAGGAAATGATCGAGAAAAAGTCTAAAGTCATGCCACGATTGCCCCAACTGCCTGTATTGTTCATTACACTCCACCAGGAAAGTGGTGGTTGGAACTAACAATTTATCCTATAAGTCAATATTTTTGTCATATTGTTCTTTATTGTTTCCATGAAAAACATTTGAGTGGATAAAAAAAATAAGAAAAAATTAAATAAATACATGAAGAAATAAAATTTAGGATTTTTAGGAGTTGTCAGATTTAAGCCCATATCTGCTGTCAACCCTATTGACAAAAATAGTGACCTAACATCTGATCTCCTTCTTTTCCTGGGTATTTACCCCATTGATGCCTTACATGCAAATAGCTCTTACTAGTATTTATTATCACTTGTAGATCTCTCACTGTATAGATGCTTTATTGATGCTTGTATGTTGTTCCTCAAATGTAAGTGGCTTTGGATAAAAGCGTCTGCCAAATGAGTAAATTTAATGTAAATGTAACAACAGCAGCAGCGTAATAAATGTAATAATTGGTACTGAAGGAAATATCTTAGGATCATTAAAAATAAAAAGGCTTACAGTGCGTTTGGATTATTCAGACTGAACATGATGCCTTTACTGTAAATTGACTGACTGACAGACATTCCTGCTGCTAGAAGGTGCACATTTCATGTCAAAACATGCAGAAAGTGCAGCATTAAGCATTATGACAAATATGCTCTGGACAACTAGGGCCTCTGGCACTCAACAAGCATAAGCTCTGCACACTAACAAGTGCACACTAATAGAACCATATATTATTAAGTCAGTGGAATTTTGGACGAGACCGGTGACCACATTGTTACCAGCGTCTGCACCACCATCCTGCCTGCTTCAGCCCCCTTATTGGGATATAAATATGAGTCACTCTGTCATTACGTGGTTTCCTGCCATTTCAACGCAGCTTTCCCCACCCACCAAAATGATACTGAATTAGGGCTGTGAGGGTAAACAGTCCTCATGGTTATTTCCCCAGAGCTGCAATAAAATCTCTTCTCCTCAGCTGTGGAGGATGAGGGATCAGATTATGACTTCTTAGAGAGGTTTATATGGTTGGGGAAATGCAATCAAGGCATCTATTAATAAGATCAATAAAAAACAAGCTCAAGAGTAGAAGTTCTTAGACACATCCTAAAAATCCTAAAAAAGAGTCATTACACTGTGGTGCAAAGCCAACCAAGCAGACATTCCTACCATACATATTTGACTCCTGGACCTGTCTGCACGGGCGCTATTATTCAGTCAAAGCTTCAGAGATTAAAGAGTCACTACAGTCATCCATCCAAAGGAAGCTTAGACATGGAGATTAGACTTTATAGTGTACAGTGTGTTTGTAGAGCCTTTTCGCTGAAAACACCTGCCAGCTGTGGCCACAAGTGACAGAATGAGAGCTGTGAGCCTGAACTAAAACGGTAAAGATGAACAATGAGCTGAAGCTTACTATAAAGTTCTATAAAGCCGAGGACATGTGACACCTTGTTATTATAAAAATTAATTGATTAAATTCCTTTGACTTTCCCTTCTGTTTGTTGTCGTCATGTAGAAATGGCTCCTGCGCACAGGGTCTTCTGATTCTATGTTGTTACTGAATGATTCTGTGGCGCGTGACTTACATCCAGTGTCAACTCTCAGTGGGGAGATTTGCAAGTAATGATGTGGAGGTCAGGGTGGTGATAGGCGTGTCGCGGTTCTGTCTTATTATTAAAAGAGCACTCCTCATTTTAGCTTTTAGACACTTATTTTAAGTATCAAAATTGAACCAGCAGAAGCAGACATAATCTTTTTTCCCCAAACTTTTAGCCCAGCTCCTAGGCTGCGACAAAGATGGGAGACCAGACAATCTTACAAGCTATGAACAAGCATATTTATTTCCAAAATAATAAGAACGGAAAAAACGTGGAAGTCATCAGTCAGTAATGTAAGCATGTGTGAATATCTGCAACAAACAAACCAGAACAGCCTGCGATTGGAAGAGAGGATCTTCCCGTGGGAAGGTGGTGGTGAGCTTTGTAAGGCCCAGGTGTGACCCATGAAAGTGATGAGGACCCTCCGCCCTGACCCTGAGCCTGCAAACAAAAGGGAAAGATCAAAACAAAGGACACAGGGACACCTAGTGGAACGGAGGGGTCATCACACGCAGTTTAGTCTGAGATTCAGGTGTATTATGCTCGTAGCTAGGCTTTGAGCCTCTAGCCTCAAACAGAGATGAGGAGCAGGCTGCAGAGGTCTCACTGTCTTTGATTTGAGTTCCCCTTTAATTTAATTCCCCTTTGATTGCTTCTTTTTTCAGCCACAACCTTTCCCTTACTTTAAAGCTGCACGAATCAACGTTTTACGACACATTAACAGTGTTTCGTGTGTAGTGTAAAGTGGTGCTTGTAGTGATGAACGCACTGAGAATTATCCCCCTACTCTACTGCTCAGGAACCTGGTAACCTCAGGTGGAGACCAAGCAGAGCTGAAAAGAGAGAGGATATTCTAGCTGGGCCGCTAATGTTTCTCCATGTCTGCTGGATGTGTAAATAGACAACTGTTCCGCTGTCCCCAAGTGGCCAGAACCTACCAGTCTTTGTCTAACCATAACCATGTGTTAGAGGGTGTCATCAAGTCCTGGCTATGTATGTTTGCTTTATAGATATTGTGACAACCTGCAACTACCAGGTTGCACCGTCTCGTTACTGTATGCTACTTTGATGAACTGGTTTGAACTGTGTATGTGATGAACTGGATTTATGTTGCTACTTTGGTTGAACTGGATGGAAAAGTAAACTGAAGCGTAACTCGGAGTTGAATTGTGAGTTGATTGCATTGTGTTCATTTTGTGGTCTACTTTTGTTGTGTAGTTTTATGAAATACAATCTAGTGGTGGCTGTCTTATCTTAACTGTTATATCACTCAACATGAGGGTGTATGTTCTATATGTGCATCCTTTGTGACATTTGTTGTGAACACTTTTAAAGAAATCTTAAAATCTTTAATGTCAGGACAGAGAACTCACTAGCACGCCTGATAAAACTAAAACTGAACCACAAAAGGCAAAGTTTCACAAATACATTTTTTCTTTCACAGATTTCGATGAATGTGCAGACAGGACAGTGTGTCCTTCTGGTATCTGCTTCAACGTGCCGGGGAGCTACAACTGTGGCTCCTGTCCTAATGGCTTCTTGGCACAGGGAGGCCAATGTGTTGGTAAGTCTAACACTCTGAGTGTGTGTGTGTGTGTGTGTGTGTGTGCGTACACTATGTACTGTCTCTTGCCCTTGGAAGGAACAGATGCGTGACGCAGGAAGTAAAATAGGTTAGAGCTGAACAATTTTACTCCTGACTTGTTAAGGCAACATACATCCGCTTTAAAGGGTCATTTCGGTCTATATTCGGCTGCTGGGGCTTCAACGGCGGCACAACAAATGCTTTTTTTTGCCACAGACAGGTTTAGACTGTTACATCATGGAAAGGAATCCCCTAAGAGGGACTCCTGGTGACACCCTTTGTTTTTATGAGGAAACTGAAGTCTCGCTTTAGGACAGTTCTCTCTCTGAAATCTCAAGAGAGGAGAGTTGTTGCAGGGAGACGACAGTGGAAACGTGAGTCAGAACTGTAGAGAGGAGTTTGTTGTGTTGGAGTAACATTTGGAAATAAAGTCTTGCAAGCACTACCTCTATGAACACAAAAACTCCTCAGCATTCAGAGAGCTGCCTCTGTTCAACAGATCAATAAAGTCCCGTTTCAACACGTCAGACTGTTGCTTCAGGTCATCAGATGGAGCTACAGGGTCCTGCAGCAGTGGTGCAAGCCTGTTCTGCAGGTGAACACTTGATTGTTGGGAAGGTTTGTTGCTAACTCTCCCACTTGCAGCTGTCCACGACTGTACCCTACCAAGAACAGGGGTTCAAGAGGGGCTCTGCCTGGATGACCATGATGATAACTACCCAGTTGCTTCACAAATCTCAAGGCTCTGCCTGGTACTCTTCCTTCCAATTCCCAAGGAAATGATTTACTCCCAGGCTTTGCTCCAAGAGAGTTCCAGGGACTTGTAAATGTATTACCCGGTACACAGGCCTCTTGTTTCTTGGTAGTCCTGTGTGTTAGCATGCTCTTTGAGTCCATGGTAAAGTATTCCCACGCACTCTGCTCACTTTCACATTCACTTCCAACCGGTGGATTTTGTTTTCCAGCTCTGCAATTTTTTGTAGATGTTTATGGAAGTTGTCCAGGGAGAAGGGGGGGGGGGCATCGTGCTGCTAATTAAATACAACGTTTCCAGTCACTGCAGTACAGGCTTATGCTGTTGGTAGTCCGTGCTCATGTAGTTCTGGAGAGTTCATAAAAGTCATAAAATATGGCAATGGTCTACTTTATCTAAATAAATCACAGTCTTATTTATAGAAGAAGTATCCAGGAGCTGCTGCTCATAATGTCTAGTAAAAAAACCAACAAGAATCTCAGTAAAACAATGCAAACAGAGGCGAGAGCAAGCGTCTAGCATCAAATGATATAGAAAGGAGTCCAGGAAACCCATGCAGAATAAAATATCGCAACAATCAAGCAATAAAGCCAGCGAAGCATTCCAAAGCACACAGTATGGCAGACGTTTTCCTGGAAACCTAAGGTGTGCCCATCTCTCCTCTTTCAGTAGTTCGCTGCTCCTGTGTCCCATGTGACACAGGGTTAGCCGTGAGGTTTTGACTGTTCACACCACACGAGGCGAGCCAAGCCACAGTGGGGTGGCAGTGAGTGGTGGTGGTGGCGAGAGGAAATAATTAGGCCATGCAACAGAGTCCTTTATAGAAGTTAATAACCCAGCTCACAGATGTTTACATGACACTGCCAAACTCAGGGAAATGTCACATCGTCTGGAGTGTGTGTGTGTGTGTGTGTGTGTGTGTGTGTGTGCAATGTGTTTTAGCTACTTCTTATACACATACATACAATGTGTTCTTTATTTTTACACCTGAAAACAAGTTTATACTAAAGAAAAGGGATCAGTGGAAATGCACCACTGACCACATTTTTTATTGTTTTGTTATTGTTTATTTACAATTTGGGTTTTATTTTTGTAACTCTGGCAATTAGTTCAGCTACTCACAAGTTGCTGCTTAGCTCTCAGAATGAGGCAACATCACTAAAGACAGATCTAAGCTCTGGTCTAGTGGTGTCTTGGTTGGAGGGTATACTGTGTTATTAACAACCATTGACAACAATGTGAGAGCGTTTTACACTACAGCAGACAGCTAACTTGAACACCAACATACTGGATGTCAAAGCAGCCACAGCAACTGCAGTCAGCTGCAGGAACTAATGCATGGGAACTGAGGGAGATGAAGAGGAAGAGACAGGGCCTGGACAAGAGGGAGAGATGTGACCCACGACAAGTTCATGATAGTTTCTACCAACACAGCTTAGTGAGGATCCAGACGTTTCACTGAGGAGACGTCTGTCTGTCACTGTCAGCAGAGACTCCAGTCTGCAGTGGAGTGAAGACACTTCACTGATACACCACAGAGCTGCAGAGGAACATTGGGATTCATCTCAATGTCATCTGTCTGTTCATATATTCTCTCTTTCTCTGTCTCTCTCTCTGTGAGTCTGCATCCCACTTTTTTCGATGGTTTTTATAATGCGTTTAGGGGTGCTGTCGGGGTTGCTGCACCCCTTCTTCCTGTCCGCACACAGAGTGAATTAAGAAGGTTTAGTTTATTTTAAAAGTTGGTAAATTATTCAATTCTTGCATTTCAGTCGGGGCCCTTTGGAGGGCGGGTACAAACAGCAGCGGACCGTGAGGAGATATTTGCTGAATTGGACAAAAAGACATGCAATGGTTTAGGATTGCATACCTCATCTGTAATGGCGAAAGTGAGGGAACTAAAACCTCTGGTGTCGTTGGAGGTCATGGTTCTGGATCAACAAATTATGGAATTTCAATAATCAATTAGAGTAGATTTTGGTGCCACATAAACAAAGTTTAATTATTAAAGACCATTTAATATTGTCATTGTATATCAATGGAATATTGACCAATTATAATATGCCACTCCAATTAAGTGTTAAGCCCTCGAGCATTTAATTAGATCAGCGCTCAACACTGTGTACCACTCAGGCTATAAATCAATCCCCTCACTGCTTCTACAGTATATGAGATGTAGTGTTATACAGTACAAGCATCTTGTTCATTACTGTGTACAAATGGTACTTATAGCACTTAACTTAAACATTAATGTATAATTTTCCATCTGATAATTTATTGCACATTGTTTAATTACTGCCAGAGTTAGAGAAATCAGTTTCGTGAACTTTGCATTCTGTTTATGTGATGTGGTTGTTCTACTGTTTGTGTTGTTTCAGATATAGATGAGTGCCAGGATCAGCGGGTCTGTACCAGAGGCCACTGCCAGAACACTGAAGGCTCCTTTATCTGTCTGTGTGGGCCAGGTTTCAGAGTGTCCCCAGCTGGAGACCACTGTGATGGTATGATATATATACCATCACATTTTAAGGACAGTACTATAATTTTAATAATAAAATGTGTTTATTGGGAGCTTTTCAAAACAACAGTTACAATGTTCTTTACAATATAAAAACAGCTTTCAGACCACGGGAACCTGTAGGCGGTGATGTGCATATGTGCTATATTGCTTAGATAGATCGAGAGATAGTTCACCATCAGCAGATTGATTCAGAAATAGTTTCATTTCTGAATCAATCTGCTATCATTAAATCCTGTGGTTGGTCTGCTTTAAGGCCTCAGTATACTCCATCAGAACTGCCTCCAACTTGGTTGAATAGCTTCAGAAACCACCTCCCAAATGGGCCAGGGTTTAAACTATTTCAGCTCTCTCTCTTTATTCTTGACATGACTATCCCAGTCACTTTTCATGTGAGCAACCAAGGTCAACAACATGAATGTCTCTCTCAAGAGCGACTGTCCAAAAAACATTCTGCATCATTCGGATAAGGAAGAATCCCTGTTGCCTTTAGATGTGGTCAGAAAGCACGTCCTCTTTCTTTTCAAGCATAACCTGACCCTTAATTTCACAACACAAATAAACGTCCAGAGTTTGACCGGTAACAGACCGAGACGCTCCAGTCTCAGTCCAGTTGTTAAGTCTGCACCAGAATTTGATTCACAGCAACTGTACCAAATGGGCAAATGTCCGTTTAATCCAAACCCAACAGGTCTGGTGTGAAAGCACCATTACTTTATTAACTACGAATGGCTTATAGTTCACGTGTGTGTGTGTGTTGATTTTGTTTTATGGTGTCATATTGTAAAATATACATGATCATTGTGTGATACTGCTGCTTGCTATAGTTTTAATTGAAGAAATGAAATTCACATTATCCAGTAAAGCATCCATTGTATCTTATTATTTCTTGTCTTCTCTCTTTATAATATAAAAATAATGAATGTGATTTTTTATTTACAGGCTAAAACCCTATAGGCTAAACAATGGTTACGTTAATATTATGGGTGTAAAAGTCCTCAAAATATATATATTAAAGTACAGCGAACTGCTGCTCCTGGTACATTTTTGAGAGAACTCCCCTTTTTGCATCTTTTGCTTATTATTTTCATATAAAAGATGGATGGACATTATTATACTTCAGTCTGATGGTCTCTATTTAAACCAGAAAGGGCAATGTATAATTTTGTTGTTGTACTAAGCTGTAAGTGTTAATGAAATTCAGTTATCTAAATATATAGTTATTTCTTTGTCTCACCTGACACCGTGATTTATTGCAGATGTCAAACAGGAAAATGTGGCTATGGTAAATATCTGTTTTATGCTTCTATGTGGTGGTGATGGCACAATGGATAAGAAACATGCCTTTGATGTGAGAGACCCGGGTTCAATTCTAGTTGCTCCAGAGGCGATTGTAAGCGTCAGATAAATGTAAATGTTCTAATGCACTGCTGATTGAAGACATGTCCAAAATGTTGTAGACATAGATCACTACGCACAGTAGCACCGAAAAAAGAAAGAAGGCTGAATGATCCAGCTTACTTGTGTTGTCTGCAAATTATGGTTTGGTATGTCATCAGTTCTAAAAAGAAAATTCAGGCTTGAGTGTGCAAACTTTGTTGTAACAAACGTGTTTTACATTATATCACAACATAATGCATGTGCACATGTGTGCAAATCTGTTAACATCAAAAACAGATGTCAAGTGACAGGATGAAGAATCTAACAATATATTTTATAGAGGGCCACAAATATCATGGAAATAGTTATAAAGCATTCAATTAACTGATATCTAATTGGACAAAAAAATCTGGATTTGAAGGTGAGTTATACAATTCTGGAAAAATCCAACACCATGACAAATAGCATGATAAAGAGCAACACAGCAAGTCACACATCTCATCTGTGAGGAGATATTCACTGAATTTGTGAAATAAAATGTAATAAATAAACAATTGTATAAATTAATTAATGTCCATAAACAAATAAATTAAAGGTATTTCATTTAAATGGACAATAAAAATAATTATTAAAAGATATACAAATGAATATACTAACCGATCACTAAACAAAAACTTAAAAACAACATAAAACAATCAATACCTAAATACATAATGGAATTTAAAAAGAAAATACCGTTTTAAATGAGAAATAAATATCTGAAGTGAAACTGAATTAAGAGTACAGATTTTAATCAAACATTTGGAAGTGGCATTCCTTTTTTATTTGTATTCTCAGCTTTTATTGTCCAAATAGATATTAATTATTAGGAATGCTTTATAACCATTTGTTATATTGTTACATTTCTGGTCCAAAGTGTCACATTAAATGTAAATGAAAAATGAAAATATTTAGAATCATTAAATTCTTGCTGCAAACCAAAGGAATAATAAATCAATTCATCACTTGCACTCCTTAATGTACTTTAATATGTAATCCAGCTGTAATTTATCAATGAAGACATTTACAAAAATGAGTGCTCCTAGCAACTATTTGTCAATGTAAGCAAAAAGTATTTTTTGTCAGGAATGATATCCTTCTCTTATTTAATTCTTCTCAATTTAATTCTTTCTCTAAATATTGGTTTCAACCTAAAAGGCCTCCTCTCTATGTTCCAGATGTGGATGAGTGTTTAGAAGACCCCAGGCCCTGTGAGGCTGTCGGGGAGTGTGTTAACAACATGGGCTCCTACACCTGTACCTGCCCCAGGGGATACCGACAGGTCAACGGCACCAGCTGCAGAGGTGAGCTCTGCATCAGGGTTACATCCTCCACCACCAGACGGGTTTCTGATTTGGGATTTAGACATTCAGTTTCTGTCTCTGTCTCTGTCCAGATATTGATGAGTGCGTGGATGAACCGGAGCTCTGTTCCCCCCATGGCGAGTGTCTCAACACAGAGGGATCCTATCTGTGTGTGTGTGAGAGTGGATTCACGGCCAACCTCGACACACCCACCTGTGATGGTAAGCTGCGACTACAAAGAAGAGGAACACAATGGTTAGGGTTGTGAAAATATCAGCATGCTGATGCTGACCTTTTGATTGAACTTACAGGTTGTCTGTTCAACCTTTATAGGAAGGTTTTAACTGGTCGAATAGTCTTTCTTTGCTTAGGAAGGTTCCTAACAGTATCTAAGTGGCAGCCACGATAAGAGCTCGTCAAATTCTCTAAATGCTAAGGAAAGGTGTTTCACTGCTTTTTATTATATCCTTTAGCATAGGGTGCATTAGGCCATCCTTTATGAAAGGAAAGGACAGAATGCAGTCCCACAATTCCCAATTGTTTTGTTTTCTATGTAGCCTAGTGTAGGTGCAGTTGGATTCTCTTAGCACCGTGGTTGTCTCATAAATTCTCCTTCACATCATGACGTCCTCCACTCAGGTCAAGGAAAAATGTTATTGTACTGTATTGCACAACAGCAAGGGGGTTTCCCAGATAACAGAGCCGTTCCCCCAAGTCATATAAGTAGTTTTCCATTTTCACCAACATTTCTGATGTGAGTTTTTCTGGCTGAACTATATCAGGATGCTTCAAACCTGTCATGACCTTTTGAAGGAACTGGCTAGAAGAGTATGCTGCTGTGGCTCTGGTGCTACGGATAAACATAATCCTTAATAAACACAAGTACTTTGAAATGTTATTCTAGATAAATGCAGCTTCAGTATACACACTGAAGAAAATGTTTCAATGTTATAAAAATCAATAGTAACATATTGACATATGATTTCCTTTTTCAAAATGTACACCAACATAGTAGATTCAGTTGTTAATATCTGTTTCCATCCATTTTTTCCATTGCCTTCTTCATCCTCCATTCCTCAATTTCTACCCCTTTGTCACTTCCCTTTAAACATGAAAGAAAAATAGGACGAAAATCTTCAATTTCTTTTGCATGTATGCTGCTCTGATTCTCTCCACCCCGGCAGGAGTCTGTGCCAGAGCTGTTTAATGCCTTCCCTGCCTTAGAAAATAGAGAGAGAAAAGTAAAAAATGAGAGGAAAAGAAACAGAAGGAAGCCTTTGAGCTGGCTGTCTAGACAAGGAGGGATATTTGTTGCTCTCTGCCTCATGATTTATGCAGTTGGCTCAAACTCAAGTGAGTGTGTGTGTGTGTGTGTTTGAGTGTCTACCTTTATAAAACACCAGCTGCTTCAATTGCAGTACTATGTTTGATTCACTGCATTCAGTTTTTACCTTTCATCTCCCTTCTTGAATCCGTTTGGAGGGAAATAAAGGAAAACAGAGGAGAAGTTGTGTGTGTGTGTGTGTGTGTGTGTGTGTGTGTGTGTGTGTGTGTGTGACTTTCAGTCTGCAAACAATCAGCATGTATTTGTTTAGCAGATGTTCATGCACTACAGTGCATTTTAAAGTGTTCTACAATGAAATCATCAACAACAAAATACAATGTTAGAGAGCCGTATAATACAGAGGCTGGAAAAGAAAAGATGGAACACATCACTAAAGTAAAAAAGTATTTGACATTTGTCGGCTTTGTTTGTTCCCTAGATATTGATGAGTGTGGGCTCAATGAGACAATGTGTGGCCCTCATGGTTTTTGTGAGAACAGACTGGGTTCCTTCCGATGCCTCTGTGACCAGGGCTACCAGGAGACCCAGGATGGCCAAAGCTGTGTGGGTAAGTGTTGCAGTTTTGGTATGTAGATTTTAAGCTGAAGCTATTGTATTATAGTGTATTCACTTTTGAAATGTATACAGTCAGACACACTGGCGACCTGTCCAGGGTGTACCCTGCCTTTCGCCCAATGTAAGCTGGGATTGGCTCCAGCCCCCCACGATCCTGTACACAGGATAAGCAGTTGACGATGGATGGATGGATGGACAGTCAGACACACATTAACTTAAAAGCATATGCTGACAGCTTATAGTTTGCAAATTATGTCAATACATTCACAAACAAAGATGTAGAACAGCAGTTCTTCACAGACAATGAAACACTCCACACCAGCCATGTCAATTATGACGACAAAGCAGTTTCCTTCCCTGACTTTGCACTAATGAAGCAGCATTGTTGGATGGAATCACCTGAGACTGATGCCTTAAAAGGGGCGGGGTTCGTCATGGAAGGCTGCTACATCACTGCATCCAGGCTGGTGGGGACATAAATATCACTAAAGCATCTTTCCAGAAATTATGGTGAAGCTACCCTACTGGGGGCAAGGAGACTCGAGGGGCCGTAACTTGTAAGGCTAGGGTCGTGCGACAGGCGGAGAGCATCACTAGGTCACTTTTTGGCTTTTTACATTATCAAAAGTTTTTTGACTGGACAGGCCTGCTACTGAATGTGTGGTTGACTGTAAGGCCACAGGGGCTGGTTAGTACTCTGTGTGCTTATACTTCAACAATGACCTCAACTCCAAACAATACTTTTACATCAACTCATACTTTAACTTCGCCCGCTGCTTACACTTAAGGTGACATTTTATGTAGCACACCTACACATAGCCCTTCCACATAGACTGAATCTTTAACTTCTTGTAGCAATTCCATCTTTCTTCAGTGCTAACTGCCATAGAAACATGTACCACAAGTTCCAAAGTAGCAAAGTAGCAGAAAGGGCTTATGCAAAAAAATATTCAGATTCATATCACAGTGCGGATGCACACCCCATGCCAGTTTCCCTTTATAAATCACAAACAACTCAGAATTTGCTGCACCTTCTTATCATCCACAGTTGCTTATAAGCAGTCAGTGAACCTCCACTGATTAATATTTATAAATACAGACAATGTCAGCGCAGTCTGACAGAAAAGCTAGGTTGAATCAAGAGAGAATATATTGTTTGTGGACACTGTGGGCTTTACAAATGCCAAAAGGGCTTAAGAGTGGCAGCATGTGACGGACTAATGAATGCTGCTGGCTCAGAAGGTCTCTCCTCTCCTAAATAAAAAAGAAGTGGTCTGGCATTAAGTAGAAGCCAAAAGACACATAGACAGACAGACAGAGTGTTTGTACACCGGAGGAAAAGGACCACCAGAGCCAGACCCCCTTGATAAGCGACTTGAAGGAATGAGAATCCCTCCTGAGTAGTGACCCGAGGTGGAGGGAGACACAGATATGCAAGATGCATCGAATGACCCAAGTAATCTGTATTATCTCGATTGAAAAGTGAGTAAACCCAGTGCCTTTATAATCAAGTTAAGTTAAAACATGTATTCACACAAGAAACTTCTGTAGTCGGTGCAGCCGGGTCAGTGGTGCTGCAGCTGAGCAGGAGCTGAGTGCACCCAGCCCCGCGATCTCCACTGCACCTCCTGAGTCTCAACCCCTCAGTGGCCGTGTAGATGTAGTCCTACAAAGGCAAAGAGACTCCATCTCAATTAACAAGGTTACCAAGGAGTTAAAAGAAATAAGACTACTTAATAAATAGTGTTGTCATGGATTGGGGCGCTGAGTGCAGACTGGGGCGAGGACCCAAATGCAGACAATGGCAAGGCGAGGAGGTTGCAGTCCAGAAATTTTTATTAACTCAAAAAACTAACTTAAACAGGCTTAGAAGGAGCTCGAGGCAAAGTCCAACAAAGGTAGTCCAGAACACAAGGCAATCCAAAACACAGGGAATAATCCAGAACTAGGAAGACAAGGAACAGGCAGGAACACTCAACTTTAGACGCAAGGACGTGACAAAGACTGGAGAGACAAGCAGGCGTACATGTACACAGGGACTAATGAGCAGCAACACAGGTGAGCGGGATCAGGGCTAACGAGGCAGAGAGACAGCAGGAAAACAGATGCAGGCAGGCAGAGACAACAGGGGGTAACAGAGAGAACACTTAGACAAGCAGACATGGGTGAATAACCAAGAATGCACAAGTACGGGCTAAACAGAACCAGTAAGTGACCACAAGACAAAACCGGGAACACAAGACCAGAAGTAAACAAACACAAAAGATATTAACTAATGTACAGGACTAGGAACTAACTGAACAAGAATACACAGAGAAACACAGAACCTAAAACAGACTTAAACAGGAAAGACATGAACACAAAAACCAAACTCCTAACAAGTGTTATATTTTTCTATACTTCATCCCACCCACACCCCGTGCTCAGTGTTTAGCTCAAATGCCTGGGGATTAGGCAACAAACGTGTCATAATAATATGCCGAGCTACGCACTGTATGTATTTGCTCGGCTGAGGCATCAAAAACGGAATCAGTGTAAACATGATTTGTCCTACTGTTCACCTTATTAATGAGAATAAATGTCACTGCATGCAAGTATTAATTACAGATCAAATTAAAGAAAATGATCCAATTTTTTTTATTGTGCACGTTAGGAAGTATCAATCAAACAGGTGTTTGTTTATTCATGTTAAGAATGACTGTTTTTGCTAATTAAGTGTATAACATATAAGAGGTAATATTTCTATTTATTTTACAAAATGGTATCAATTTGTGAGCGTTTCTTCAATTTCATCCTTCCGCCATCGGATTCGCAGATTCCTGTTTCTCACATATTGTGCGTACGCATGGGTCAAAGTTTCCGTTTAGGACTGCACATTCCCCTGTCAACTTTATTTTGTATATATCTCAAAGTATGCTGAGAAAGCGTACACAAAGTTTGTAAATGACGCCCAAGATTTTTTTCTAGCTGAGGTAATTGAAGGCCCCAACCATTATCTGAAAATTTGGGGTATTAGCCCTCCTGTTACCTTTGGCCTCAGCTGTTTCTCTTAGATAATCTGTGAAAGCAGCATTGCCAGGTATTGTGAACACATCATCCCATGTTGAAAATCAGCGGTTTTCCTCAAGTTTGGTTTGGAATGAGTGTAAGCTGATGGGTGCTGGTGGTTTTCCCCAGGATAACTGGGCCCCTGTAGCTCCCATCTAGTCCAATTTCCTCCAGCAGGAAGGACTGTCAGAGTAGACTTCCCCCTGCAGAACCCTGATAGAAAACATCCCCCACTTACACTCTCCCAGTGACCAACTCCACCAAACACACACAGACCCATAAAATACAGAACCAGAACTACCAACACGCTCAACTTCACATCTCTCAATACAATATGTGCTTTATACACTCTTACACACTTCCCATCTTTCCTTTGGCAGTGCTGCTGGGTCCCACCCAAGTTCAGTCCAGCCAGCTGCCTCCTCTTCACCACTAAACCCTCACTGTACTGTGGCTAGCACAGATGGACTCACTTACACACACGCGATCCTTGAAAACCAACAATGGCGGTGTACCACAAACCATTCAGGATGTGTGTCTTCCTTCCCCTCCATCTATTCCTCTCCTCTTATCAGCCAACTTTCTCTGGCTTCCTCTCTCCAGTTCCTTACTTTTACACTGCTTTATTCTGTCTACTCCCAATATCTTGTCTCCTCCTCCTGTGGTTTCTCCTTCTTGCGTCTGAGATTCTCTCTTCACCTTCATCTCTTCCCATGTCTCTTCTCTCTATACAATCGCCCCAAGGAGGCATAGAAGCAAATTGCCAGTTTGACATATTTTTATTGGGTTTCGAAAACCCAACAATAAGTTTACAAATATTTGGCTGATGATTCACAAGTTCTTACTGATCCAAAGAGGTAAATGCTTCTCTTCTGTTTACAGTTAGTCTTATCCCTAAACCAAGATGGTGAAAGGGAAATGCAAAATGTCCAGTGTAGTCTAGTGTTTTATGTCACTTGGCATCTTAGAGAAACATTTGCATACTCTCCTTGGAAGAAATACTGGAGCATTGCTACTAGGTCTGCTTCAGCCTTAAGGTCAGTTGGACAAACGGCAATTATTAACCAGTCTAAAGGAAAAGATTGAAATTATCCATTGAGTTCTAAGTCAAAGGCAGCAGGAACTCGATGACACACTCCCAGGTGTGACTGACTGCAGCTTAAAGGTTCAGTGTGTTATATTTCTGAGCATCTATTGACAAAAATGCAACATAAGATCTACAGCTATATTTTCAGTGGTGTAGAAAGACCTTACATAATGCACAGTTATGTTTTCTTACCTTAGAATGAGCCTACAGAGCGCGTTTCGTCACTTCTTCTTCTTCTTCTTCTTCTTCTAGAATCTTGAAGAAGAAGAAGTAATAATATACAGCGCGGGTCGGCAAATAAGTTTTGCATTGGAGCAATTTTTTTATCCATTAGATGGTGGATGAGAACATAAGACTAATATTTAAACTGAATGTTACAATGTTGAGTTAACTCAGTTGGTAAAGCACAAGACTCTCGCCAGGAGGTTTTAAAGTAAAAGCTCTCAATTCAACTCGAAATAAAGCATTGCTGCAAAAAACTCACACTTTGTTTGCAGGCAAAACCACTAAAGCAGAAGTGATTATGTGAGTAACTGTTGCTGCCATGACTGAGATCTATTTCAGAACCGCTATTAAAGTATTTATTTATCAAAGCACCATATCTATGCCAGTTGGAACTTAAGTTTTACTTTATTACTGAGAGGACATGAATGTATAACCCATGGAGGAAAACAAATCATGATGGAAAAGCCAGCTCATTCACAAAGTTATTATACAGCCTGTAGTTACAGAGCATTTTTTGGACCCGCGCAAAGAAGAAGGATGTGACATTGGGTTGTTTGAGCTGGACAGAGCAGTCGGTAGCAGATCTCGATTGGATCTTAATGTGAACTGGGGCAATACCATCTGTAAATGTAATCAGGTTAATATCATATGTAGATACAATCTGGATACCACACACATTTTAATGCAAGGTGTAAATCTGTGTTACAACCCTGCATGAGTCTAGGATAAGGAAGAATCTTAATGCTGGTGAGTCAAGCAGGCGCTGCTGTTTATTGTTTAGTGTACTGACAATAATATAAATTGCAAAGTTTTCAAGTTTCTAACAGTTAAATACCATATGATCAACAAAAAAAGGAGTCAGGTGAGGCGAGGCATAAAGAGGAGGGGCTAAAGGTGGCGCCACATCATGAAATAAACAACATGCTTCCTAACCAGAGCAGACCTTAAGTGACTAACTACACCGGAAAGAAAATTAAAGCCTATTCTAGCAGTAACCCATAAAACCTAGTGTTCAGCTAGACAGTCACATTACCTACGTGTGGAGCAGAAAAGAAAGATGTTTGAAAATAAAGGCTAAACCACATGCCACATACATGTTAACATTAATTCACACACTCTAATGGACCTAAGTTACCTTCAGAGCTAACAATCACACATATCAACAGTACAATAGAGAGACACAGAGGCGGACTGCTCAAATAAATTCACAAAGCAGCTTTTATCAGCTTGAGTGACGGATCAGATAGGCTTGGCATTTGATGCTGGAACCAGATAAGAAAAGATGTAGAACCTGCCGAAAATGGGGAAGACTAGAGCCCAAACACAGGTGGGTGGTCCGGAGGCGTGGCCAGGGAGGAGTGGATGCTGTGTTGACAGCACTGACAAAGGACAAGACTTCACCACAGTAAAACAAAACTTAAGAAACTGCCAGCGGAGGACCAGAACCCTGTCTCCCTGGTGGTTAGCTACACCTCATATCAAGACCTCAGGCCAAAATACCCCTTGGTCAGGCCTGCTTTGCTTCCCACAAGCCAAATACAACTTAAATTGAATTTGCCTACTCTTTAGCTTTCACTGGGAGATTGGACATTTTTGAACATTGTTGCTATTTTCGTAAATACAACTGCACTAATATAAAAAAAAGACTAGGATGAAACCTTTATTGCTGCACTGTGTGTTGTCATTGTGCTCCTGAGAATGTTATTGAGAGAGTAGATATGAGCTTACAGATGATTATAATTGCAAATGTAATTTATTAAAACAAATCACATCTATCAACATATACAACATTTTTCACTCATCTGGCTCATGAGTGAGCCAGTAGAGCTGTCCACTCTAGCCACGTAACGCTTTGCGTTTCACTTGGGTGGTGGTTACCCACCCAAAACATATTTTTTTGTTTCAAGTCTATTTTCTTCAGTGGCTGTATATTGGACTGTGTGGTGACAAAATGTGTGTGAGAGCAAAGCAATACTGTGGCTGAACACATCCAGTATAGATGTGCTGCTTTCACTGCACTGACAGAGTAGAGCAGACACGGTGTTAGACACAGTTTCCAACAAAATACTGATTACTGAGCTGCCTCATTTGAATGAAACTGTTCTGCACTGGGCAAGAAAATACCAGACAGATGTGCCAAGTGAATTTCAAGATAAAGAAAATAAAGTTAAAGTGTTTGCGCAGTTTGTATTGCTGCCACAAAAACAACAAGTCAGGATGTGCTACTCAACAGGCCATGGAATATTCATATTTAAAGGAATTTGACCAACAAATGCAACGGTAACCAACATATTACTGCTCTGCCAAACATAATGCATCACTCTAAAACCAAGTACTAAATAGAAGGACTTACTTTACTGTAGTCACCCCATCTGTAACTGTTTTCAGGTATACATAGTATATCATTGCAACAGATCAATGTGTGGATGTTCTGGGCTGCTGGCACTGTTAGGGAGAATGTAGGGGAAATATGGAGGAGGATGGAGCAAGACACACGTCTTGTTTAGCTGTGTGAAGTCTTACCCTGTTTGAAACAAACTTTTTAAAGCTCTTCCAATAAACGTGCCCACTTGATGATGATGCACTTATGTCATGATTGTTAAGAGGTTAAGCCTGATTCAAAATAACATTTCTCACCACGCTCTTATGTTCCTTCTCCACAGATGTGAACGAGTGTGAGCTGCTGAGCAGTGTGTGTGGAGAAGCCCAGTGTGTGAACGTTGATGGTTCCTTCCTCTGTGTGTGTCCCAGCGGCCAGGACTACAACGTCATGATCGCCAAGTGTGAACCCTTTCCCACAGGTGACCCACAGTCAGCTCTTGTACAAATTATCTTTTACAAGAACCTGATGACATCAAGGTGTATAGGCTGGTTTCATTACAATGTTATTTCTTCAAGAAGTCTATAAATAAAGATACACAAACATTAAACAGTAGACAGGGACAAAAATGCAATTTATGTTCTTGTTAAAGTTTCTTGCTAAAGAAGACTCCCATATAAATAACAATGCATCTGCTTCAATTTAACACATTATGTAAAATTGCACTCACAAAGATATACATTTCTCCTTAATCAAATCCAAACATGACTGTGGATGTAAGATATTTTATTCAAACAAAATATTTAAGAATTTATAACAACATTTAAGAATATATAACCAATAAAGCCAATATCAAGATATACTCACTGAGCCCAATTAAGTATTTTGTATTTGGAGTTCTAATACATGGAAGATGAGAAGCTAGTGATTCTCATCAACTTTATTTTTAGACAGACAGCTAAAAACATTTTATTTCCCATCTTATCGTTGTGTCCTGCTGTGTGTTCATTCTTCTCTCCTTCTCTTCTGTCATTCATCTTCCAGCGTCATCAGTGGAGCGTAAGGAGTGCTACTATCGTCTGAATGATGAGAACCTGTGTGAGAGTGTGCTGACCAGCCACGTCACCCTGCAGGAGTGCTGCTGCACTTTGGGAGCCGGCTGGGGTGACAACTGTGAGGTGCATCCCTGTCCTGTCAATGGCACAGGTGAGTTAGAGGAGGAGGAGTAAGAGAAGGAAGGAATGTAGGCAATCACACACAGACACTCTTTACCAGACACACAGGTGTATTTCAGTAACACAGTGTACCAGCAGATCTATACCTTAATAAACTGTAGTTCTATTATGAAGCTTCTGTGCTGAGTTAATTTAAAGAAGTGTGCAGCTTGCAGCACCACAGCAAATGCAATTATCAACTGGAAACCAGCGCCCTGTTTGTGAATACATGTTAGCTTGATTTGATTGATGATTTGGCACAAACCTGGAATTTTCTATTCAACAAAGCTGCCTTAAAGTGGATCTACAGCTCAGAGCAACATGTCCTGTAAGTGAGGAGTAGCAGTAACATCAGTAACTTTCGGAAGTCTAGCTGATTGCCTTGCAACTGCTCCCAGCCAAGAAAAAGTCCAGCACACAATCCATTGTGTCATTTTTACATTTTGGTTCACAAATCAGTGTTCACAGGTGAATTTTGTGACCTTAGGACTTCCTGTTTCCCCCGTTTCCACTGTTTGTGCTAAACTTACTGGCTGTTAGCATTAGTTTCATACTGCATTTAATAGAGGGGATATTATTAATGTATCACCTCATCTGACTCTTCGCCAGAAATCAAATACACTCACTTCTCAAAATGAATTCTCAAACCTATTCCTTTTTCAGAACAATGTTTAAAGAAAGGGATCCTGGTGCTAAAATCTCTGGATGAATTCTGATTCTTACTGACTTTCACACATCTGTTTTCATTTTCACCGTGCATATTGGTACTAAAAGCACAAAGCCCAAACAGTTACACCCTGTATGTCTTCTTGACCACAGTCCATCATTCGCAGTTCATTCTTGTCCTGCCTCAGTTGGAGTTCCCTTTACTGGCTTCAGCTGGTACAAAATGTGGCTGCGTTACTCAAAAATGGATCATGGAAATCTGATCAAACCACACCAGTTTTAGCTGCCCCTGTATGGCTGTCAGATACCTACACACTACTCTTGTCTTTCCATTCTTATGTTAACTTCTGGGAGCACCTCCTAGTCAAGTGTACCTAATAAAGTGTCCCTAAATGATATACTGTAGGTACACACAAACACACACCTCAGCGCACGATGGACGCTTAACCTCCAAACCTCCGTACCTCCATGTCTGTTCCCTTTCAGACCAGTTCAATCAGATGTGTCCATCTAAAAGAGGTTTTATTCCCAGCGGAGACGTGCTGTACGGAGTAACCACAGCTGAGAGCTACAAAGGTAAGACTAAGCTACTTCTTCACCACTGTAGGTCTGTTGTGTTAATAACACACTTTTGGTGCAAGTCAAACTGCAAGTGCCGATTAATGGTTCTCACTTTAATAGTTGTCAAACAGTAATGTTCTAAAGTTCCAAAGTGAACTGCAGTTCCCTTGTGATATTATCACTGTCTGTGCTCGTTTCTGTCTTTGCAGCAACAATTGTCTTGTTGTGCATCATAGGATCTACTTTGCTAAAAAAATGTTGCTATGTACAGTAGAACTGTTTCATGATAGATTTTGGTGTAGCTTTTATCCAGTGCACAAAATTAAGTGAATATTCAAATTGAAGCTAGACTAATGTTTCCCATTAATTACCTAGACTGTGGTCTCTGTGAACCGTCTCATACTTATATACAGTCTATGGTCTCATAATAACATTGTTTGCTGTGCAGTGTACAGGGGGGAGCGAGAACTGAACGGAATTTTGCACAGTTGAAGCAGAGATACGAGACGATTCCCCACATTCAGGACCTTTTTGTCTTACACAACCTCCTCAATGTGGTGAACAACTTCTGAAAATGCCATGGCGACACAACACAGTGTCACGTACAGTGAAACGTAGCTAGCTTACCTCCAATTCCCGCTGCAAAATGAACAAGCCATGCTGTCCCCGTCTTCCTACCTACCAGTCCATATACACCAGTACCACTTGAGGTTTTCAGGACACAATGATCAAGGCTTCATGTTTCTGCCTTGTAAGCATTATGGCTAGCAAACAAACTTCCACCTGTTTCTGAGTTTTCAAACTAATTTATTTATTTTTACTTATTTACAATTGTCAATAGCCAGAATAGCTGCCAACAGGCCATTTTATATACGTTGAGTGTGAGCATGTAAATCGAGAGCTTTGGTGTTTACGTCACATACGATTTAATAGTACAGTGTGAGTTGGAATTAAACAACAAGATTTCTGAAATACTACAGTGTACACCCAGCTTTAGCCAAATGAAAAGAAAAAACTATGCTCAGAGTTCTACTTTTTGCTGTTATTTTAGCTCTCTGCAAAACATTCACAACCTATGTTCTACACACAAGCTCCAGTGTTAACTGAGACTTGAATATTCAATTGAGAGTGCCAGTTTTTAAAGCAACATTATGAAAGATGTGGGTTTTTTTGCGGCAACTTTGCTAACATAGCCAAACATCAAACAAGTGTGACAAGACAGCAATATTACTATTCTGGCTGTCATGGTGTTCCTGCCCTGGTTATCAGGATTTGTTTCAACTCCTAAATATCAATATCAGTATCGGCCTCAACAATACAGTGTCCAACGGGCTATAGTCTGTAATCTTTTGGAGTTTTATAAAATTTGCTCATATAAATTCCTACATTGGAAGAAAAAGTAGTGTTCATGGCATGGACAATGCAATTTATCGCATTTTATAGATATATATAGAATATATAGATATATTACTGTTGTGCAACTCTGAACCTGTATGTGACGACACAAAATGATGATTATTCGTAAGCGTAAACAGTCTGAGAGCACTGACAAGCAACACAGGCTACACTGTGTTGGGCTGATTGATATAATAATAATAATAATAATAATCTTTATTTGTAGAGCACTTTTCAAAACAAGTTACAAAGTGCTTTAACAAGTGTAAAGACAATAATACCCAAGAGACAATAATACAAAAAACAATACAAGATAAAAGCAAGAAAACATTGAAAAGACTAAAATACACATTTAAGATAAATATAAAATAAGTAAAATAAAATAAAATATAAAATTTTAATATAAAAGTATGTTTTAAGAAGGGACTTAAAAGAGTTCACTGACTAAGCCGACCTGATTTCCTCGATGAAGGCGTGTAAAATGGTCTCGGTGTCCTTAAAAGTTAACATAGAATGAATTTTTGCTATATTTCTAAGTTGATAAAAACATGATTGAACAAGCTTTGTGGTATGCTGCCCGAAATTTAAATTACTATCAAACCACACACCAAGGTTCTTTGCAACAGGCTTAATGTGATTTTGCCATCTGCTGGGACCTGATGACAAGGATAGTTCAGCTGGAGGAAATTATTAAACATCCATTTTTTAACTTCACAAAGGCAGTCGGTAAGTGAACTCAGCATTCCAGGGTCTGTGGATCTGACGGGCAAGTATATTTGTGTGTCATCAGCATAAATATGAAAAGAAATACCATGTTTATGGATAATATGTCCAAGGGGAAGCAGATACAAGGAAAACAAAATGGGTCCTAAGACCGACCCCTGAAGCACACCATATTTGACTGGACAGAACGAAGAGACATAGTTGTTTACAGACACGCAAAACTTCCTATTTGACAGGTAGGATGAAAACCATTCTAGGGCAGTACCAGAGATTCCCACCCAGTGCCTCAGTCTGTCTAACATGATGTTGTGATCAATGGTGTCAAAAGCAGCGCTAAGGTCCAGGAGTACCAGGACTGAGCACATGCCTTCATCAGCAGACATTAAAAGGTCATTGGTGACTTTAAGCAGGGCAGTCTCAGTGCTGTGGTACTTCCTAAAACCAGACTGAAACTTTTCAAGTATTTTGTTATTTTCCAGTACAGTGAGCAGCTGTTTGGACACAATTCTTTCTAGAATCTTTGCAATAAAAGGCAGTTTTGAAATTGGTCTAAAATTATGTGGGAGGGAGGGATCTAAACCAGGTTTCTTTAAAAGTGGGTTCACGCAAGCCGTTTTAAAATAATCAGGGACACAACCAGTAGATAGGGAGCTGATGAAAACAGAGATCAAATGGGGCCCAACAGAATCCATTACTTTCAGTAAAGACTTTGTAGGTATTACATCAAGTGGGCTGGAGGACACTCTCATTTGTGATACTGTTTTTAAAAGCTCAGACAAGTCGATGGGATAAAACTGATTAAAACTCTCTTATTGCTGGTGGGTAAGTACGTGCGTTAAACAGCAGCCTTTGGAGCCTCGACCATATTTAATGTTCTAACAATGTTCCCTTCTGGCAATCTCTGCTGTATGCTAATGCTATCTAAATATGTTAATGTTACTGCTACCCAGCCATGTGTCTCCACCCTGGAGCCACATGGCTGAGTGTTGGAGCCAGGAGCAGTTACTCCTGGCTCCAACACTTTGGCTGAAAGCCAAATATAAACTCTGTGAACATGTAACATGTAATGCCTACTCTGCCTGTTTGCAGATGCAGATGAATGTACACTGTTTGGTCAGGAGGTGTGTAAAGGAGGCTTCTGTCTGGATACTGTGGGCAGCTACGAGTGTTACTGCAAGACCGGACAGGACTACGACTCTGCCAACCTGGAGTGCAGAGGTCAGGGTGATACTGTGTTAAAGATGTTAAACATTTCCTCCTTTGACTTTTACACACAACACAAAGTGTGTATATGAGTCAGTGTGTTAGAATGCTCTGCTCTCCCTGCAGCATGTTGAAAACACCAGGTTGTACCAGACATAACCAGACCAGGACAAAACCAGACCAGCACTTTGCTGACCTGTTAAATTAACAACATAATCAGGCATGGCACAATAAAGAGCAAAGTAACTACGGCAAGAGACCAACCGCTGGGTGGACTGGTGTCTGATCCAGGAGGAATGCACATCCACATTAAATACTTTAAATTACACTGCTGTAATTTTGCTGTAAAGCTGTCAAAAACAGGGCCCAGACTACAACCTCAAAACGTTTCTGTGGCAGCGGTGAATTTCTAGAATATTTTCACAGTGTAGGGCAGTATGTCTGAAGAGGACTGTGTGGTTTGTGTAGGACCTGAAAAGGTTATAAATATTTTAAATAGAATAATCTACATTAAAAGACATTAACATTATATGTGTGAGCAGAAAAATTGACCTTGGGAGCAGTAGTTAAAATAATATTAACTCAAGGTCTCCTTCCTGGCTTTTTCTGCATCTCTTTATACAGTTCTCCTGAGCACTTTAAAAACTATTTTTGTGCATTGTTGCCTTTACTAACAGTAGCTACTGTAGAGTGACAGGAAAAGGGAGAAAGAGATTTTCACAGAGGTTTCAACTGCTCCAGACAACCTAGTTAGTGCACCTTGAGTTTAGATTATTTTGATGAACAACAAAGATAAATTAACTTTCACTCTCTTTAAGACAGCACAGTCTATAAATCCTAAAAATGTGTTGTGAAGACGTGATGTGGTTGAAAGCTGAGGAAAAAGCTAGTATGAGTTGATAAAAGGATCTTAACTCAATAGTGATTTCACTGTAAAATGCTGCTCTAAACACATTTCTTGGGAAGAATCATGCAAATTGATGGATGGATACGATGGAGAAAAAACAGTAAAAATACTGCAGCAGTTTCTGCCTAGCACTACAGGTGGCAGCAGTGGTTACACAGATGTATAAGGTGTGTTTGACTTCATGCGGCGCTGGGCAGCGCTGACTTAACGACTACGGCGGCCGCAGTTGCTTTTCCCCGACTGCACCAAGTTGGAACCACACTATTGCCTGGTCTCGCGGCATTTGCAAAGAAAAATGATCATGCAGGTAGAATGTGTCCAACTTGACGGCACCATTTTTATACCCCGCCCCTGCAGTCACTTGCAGCTCACGTTAGACCATCAAGTTGGCGAAAGTCAGCCGCTGTCTTTTTGTTATTTTCAGCCTGATTTGTGGCCTGAGCCTGTGTTAAGTTTGAATTGACCCAACATTACAACGTTTTCCGTTAAACTAGAAACTACAAAATATTTTCATCAGTCCAGATCAATGGTTGAATTACTTGCAGTTGTGTATGACATTTACATTAATAGGAAAAATGAACAAATCTCATTCTGGAGTGTATTTCTATAATATTCAACTTTTCATGTCATGTGAAATCAGTTATCTCTCTTTACTCAGCAGACATACTGTAAACTTAGCTTTAATACATTTTGTGAAGTAAATGGAAAAACTCTTATATTTCATAGTGTGCTAATGCTGTTTCAGCAATATTAAACCCTTATTGTGGGAACAAGCATTTGTGAGGGAGTGGAAGTTGAATTGGTTGGCATGAGAAAAAAATTATTTAGTGGTGCTAATTAGCAGAGTTTCAGGAGCGGGACCACGCATTAAGCACATCATCGCCAGCATTTCCATAAATACCCACACGTCCTAACTCCTCCCCTTCGCTCTCGTATCCTGCATCCCTCCCTCCCTCATTTAATCATACCTGTTGATTGTTTTCCTTGCTAGTGAATAAGTAAATAGTCATTTGTATGTGTTTGAATGCATTGGTCCATGGGAATGTAGGGTGAGGACATGCGGCTGACATGAAATTCCATTAAATGTCTCTGTTTGCTTCTTTCCCTTAGACATCAATGAGTGTCTGGATGAGTCAGTGTGTGTTGGTGGACAGTGCATAAACACAGATGGCTCATACATGTGTTTCTGTACACATCCCATGATGTTGGACCCCAACAGTAACCGCTGCATCTTTGTTCCCGAGGTAGCCGGTAAGAATCCCATACACACAGATTGAACTGAGGCCAACCATTTGCAAAGATTTCAAACTAACTTCTTTGACGTTGCCATTATGGGGTATTGTTTGTAGAAGGCTGTAACATACCAAAATGTGGAAAAAGTGAAGCGCTGTGAAGACTTTAGCTGAGTCAGCTGTAGCTTCCTGACTACACCTTTTCAGTCTGTAGAAAATATTTCTGCTGTGTCATATTGCTTTCTAGTGTACTATTTTGTGGGAATTAATTGCCTTTTTGTTTCTTCTTTTGCCTGATTATTTGTGTAATCGTAATGTGTTTGTTTTCTTGAGAAAATGACTACCGTGGTCACTCCTGCCTTCTCTACATTTCTAACTATTACCCATTGAAATGATGAAAGATTTATTCAGTATACGTGATTTTGCCAGTTCTGGATATTTACTTCATTATATATGATATTTCAGTGAATTGCATAAATCCCATACAGAGCATTTAACACACAATACTGTGTAATTTAGTAACGCTGTGTGTGTGTGTTTGCAGAGCAACATGAGTCGGATCGGGAGCACTACCAGGATATCTGCTGGCAGACGGTGACAGAAACCCTGTCATGTACGAGGCCGCTGGGTCAAGAGAGGAAGACCACATACACAGAGTGCTGCTGTCTGTATGGAGAGGCCTGGGGCACATACTGTGCCCTGTGTCCACCCAGACACACCGGTACACACTACACAACAACACACACACTTGCTCTCATATGTCATAGTGTTAAGGAAGGCTCTCAAAGACCAGACCAAATGTTTGTCTTGTGCAGTGTGGAAATTTTAAGCTAAAACTAGTCTTAACTTTTGTCTGTTTATTTGCACACAGCAAGTGTTTACTCTGGAAGCTCAGGCTGCCAATATTAAAAAGACACCTTTTAATCAAAGTGCCATTTGGTTACACATGATGTTTGATGAACTTAGAATTTAAATGATAAAATCTAATTTCATTTACATCATTACTGCTAACATTAAAATGAACACTTTGTAAATAATTCCTGCTGTACTTGTAAATGTTGTCATACACTGTACACACCAGTGGCAAATGAAATTTCTAATGAATTCATTAAAATAATTTTAATATTGACTGTCCTGTCCACAAGTGTCTTCACATCTGTTCCCTACAGTCAGCTATAGTTGCATTTACACCACTAGTAAAATACATTTTCAGCATACTAAAAGGTACATTGTAAATGCTCTGTATTTGTATAGCGCTTTCTAGTCTTTTCGACCACTGAAAGCACTTTTACACTACATCTGCATTCACCATTCACACACATTCATACACTGGTGAAACAGTATCTTGCCCAAGGACACTTCGCCCTGCAGCATGGAGGAGCCAGGGATAAGTCTGATATATACAGAGCGTAGCAAGTGTATGCAACCCGTGATTAGTGAGTTGACCAGTCCATCTTAGACCATTAATAATAATAATAATAATTAGTATTATTATTATGACACGGCAGATTCTGACATTTATGATTCAATGATTTATGTCTTTTCTCTCTCTCTGTCAGAGGATTATGCAGCTATGTGTAACCTTCCTCTGGGTGAAGGCCGGCGGCCATATGGTCATGATGCCCTTGTTGCTGGCCCAGTCCATGAATATGAAGTGAACCCGGACTATTCACCGTCACCTGAGCAGCAGGCTGGCCTGCCTTTTTATGAGAATGAGGAGTGTGAGTATTCGTGTTTAATGCAGTAGAGCAGTATTAACAAAGGAATACTAATGAAACACTAAACTTTATTCAGGTCTGTAGAAACACCAGCAGCCTGTTGCAGCAGCTGTGTATTCATAGTTTTCAGTCACGTGACATGTGCAGTGGCCTGGAGGGCAAAACAACAGACCAACATAGCAGCTCACACCATGACTCCACCGTAGAGACGCCGCAAAAGCTCTCAAATTGTATTTGGATCACCTTTCAACTTAAGAAAAAGAAAGATATGAACACAAACTGCAAGTGTTGGGCATATCTGATCCATATAATGTTACAGCATCCGCTGCCGCATTTCTACCATTAAAAACCGTCAGGTCCCTGCCACCGCTCGACTGTGGTATGTTTGTGGGGAATGCGATTGGTGCATCCTAAAGCACAATAACCATCCCGCAGCTCAAAGTAACAGTGTATCACTAGCTTATTGGTCCGAGGCAGCGGAAAATAACTTCTTTTTTGCCCTCCAAGGGAGCGTTTTCCTTGGAATGTGACATCATGTGAAAACTATGAACAAGTTCCAACATAGCCTAATGTAAATCATTGCTTAGCTACTACTAAGATAAGTTACAACATAACTCTATATGTAACGGCTTACACATGCCCCAGGGTAGGTGGCAATCATAAAATGTCACAGAATTATACTAATGGTGAAAATCATACTTCTTCATTAACTGCATGCCATTTTGCAACACAGTAATCCAGTAGAGACCTAAGTTATTTATACAGTATTTTATATCAATATAAATCCAACTTACTGCAATCTGCTAGGATGCCTAGTGGCTCATGCCAGCCAGAAGGCTAATGCACACGGTACCACTTGCCTTAGTTATGACTTTACATCTAAACTAGTTAAGTCGTCCTCCAAGAAATTGTGGCGCCACCAACTAATAGCTGATTTAGTTACAAACTAAGTAGTAGTTACTGAGCCTCTAGTGTCGACTTTACATCCTGACTTAGGTGAAAACCTACACACAGCTGGTGTAACACAGTGCAGAGTTCTAGCTAGTAATAAAGCAACATGCTGTGGCCACACATTTTTGTCTGAATGATTACCAGGTCTGAGGAGAAAAGAGAAACAAGCAAACAATACAGCGGAGAATAAGGCACCAACAATTCAGGGTGTGCATGTGGCTCAACATTTTATTTATCTAGAATGCTGAATGAAGTCTGCTCTGTTGTTTTCAATGGCTTAGGACCTTTGAATACAATACTATATAGTGAATGTCTGAGGGGATTGGAGAATTTTGTTGCCAGTTGGACTTTCATGGACTTGGATTAAAGATGGTAAAACAGGATGACCTAAGACCTGCTGGCAACAATTTTCCAACTTAAGCTAAAGCGTAACATGCCCACTGGAAGTAAATTTGACCAAACTGTGGATTTTTCTTTGTGTTTTAGAAGTACATTAAGATTTGGTGCAGCTGTTTGTACCTACTTAAAGTGTTTTTCCACTTTGTGTTTAACATACAGGGTTACTCTGAACGCCAACAGAGAAACATTTGTCTGCTCTAGTAAACAAATTGTCAATGAGTTATCTACTGGTCCCTTAACCCTGAGTCTGTGATTTAGTACATTGAATTAGAAACAGCTTCTAGTCCTCTATGGCTCCCTGTGTAAACTGATTTAACATGCCGCCACAGAGATGCTTCAAATCAGTTCAACATGTTTTATGTTACTCACAAAAACACTGGAGATACTTTCAGGCAAAGTCTTTTTACTCGTGGTAGCGCAGTTGTTAATTTGATTTAGTTTGAAAAAGGTGACAAAGTTTATTATTATTTATGGAGGTGTTATAGCCTTTTAAATAGTTAACCTTTGGCCCCTTTTGTTAAATTGTTATTTGTATTTAAAACTAGAGATGAAAATCTGGGAGGAGTTAAAAAGGGAATCTGCCTTCATTGATATAAACAGGGTGGATAAAATATTAGAATTAAATCTCAGGGAAACATAATTCATAATTCATATAATTCAACGGCAGCACAAACTGTGACTACTTCTAAAATGTCTATGAAGATTCTCAGTCATCCAGGTCATAGTTATCCAACGAAGGTTAAAATCAAGGGCAACTGGACTTGGTTGAAGATACTGGAAGACGTTTCGTCCCTCATCCAAAGGACTTCTTCAGTTCTGACTGACTGGCAGGGAAACTCAGCTATTTAACCTCAGTGGGGTCGTTGGCCAGGGTCATCAATACCACTGGTTCGTTAGTGTTCCTTGTTGCTGTGACGACAGTCGTTACAGTCGTTGAGACTACCTGTGGCCAAGACTGAACGACCATCGTTGGTATCTTATCAGAGAAACTCAGGAGGATTTTCAACAAACACAACATCCCAGTGTTTTTTAAACCCAAGAACACACTAAGACAGATGCTGGTCCACCCCAAAGATCGCACACCCAAACACAAGAAAAGCAATCTAGTGTATGCGGTCCAATGCAGTGAGGAATGCACAGACCTGTATATTGGGGAGACTAAACAACCACTACACAAACGCATGGCTCAACACAGAAGGGCCAACTCCTCAGGTCAAGACTCTGCAGTCTACTTACATCTGAAGGACAGAGGACACTCGTTTGAGGACCACCAGGTGCACATTTTAGACAGAGAAGATGGATGGTTTGAAAGAGGTGTCAAGGAAGCATCTACACCCGGGTCGAGAAGCCGTCATTGAACAGAGGAGGGGTCTACGCCACCACTTATCCCCCACTTACAATGCTGTCCTTTCATCACTTCCCAGGAAACTCAACAAACGTAACCTATTGGCCTCAGGTGAAGATCCCAACGATGGTCGTTCAGTCTTGGCCACAGGTAGTCTAACGACTGTAACGACTGTCGTCACAGCAACAAGGAACACTAACGAACCAGCGGTATCGATGACCCGGGCCAACGACCCCACTGAGGTTAAATAGCTGAGTTTCCCTGCCAGTCAGTCAGAACTGAAGAAGTCCTTTGGATGAGGGACGAAACGTCTTCCAGTATCTTCAACCAAGTCCAGTTGCCCTTGATTTTAACCTTCGTTGGATACTTCTAAAATGATTATAAGGTTGAATCAACACCTCTTTAACACACAAACATTAAACATGATAACCTTCATGGATGCACAGGAAGGCTGTATTACAGGGCTGTTTGTATCAGGGTACATTAGCTTTACCTGTGTACCTAATTAACTGGCAACTGGAAAAAACTGAGTGTGTTTTAGCTTGCATCTGCAGACGGTTGGACAGTTATGACTTCTCCAAAATGCTAGAAGTAAAGCAGAATGTACAGTGAACTAATCTGCTCATTACTGGGCATTATAAATATGCAGGTTCTGCATTCTCAGACATACTCTGACTAGGTTCTCATTTCACGGCGCTGTGCTGCCATCTTCAGACAGTAAATGTACAACATGTTAGAATGAGAAGCTTTAAATGACTCTGCTGGTCATGATTCCAGTCGTGCAGTGGCTGAATCCTCAGCTGGAAAGAATACTGCGTCATATAAACCATGTATTTGTATCAGTGTACGGAAAATTTGATTGCATGTTTTTTGGGTGTGCATGGATATATGATGGTACTAACATCAGACACTAAGAACAACATTAGAAACATCTACCTAAGTCCTGCAGGGTTATCAGTTTTGCTTTGTCTTAGGACTAAAGCCGGGTATTACATGAACCTTGAAATTTTCCATTGGCCCTTTACCAGCATGTGGAGGTGGTACTTCAGGGGATGGAAGACTAGTCCAATTTTACACCTCCTCAACAAAAGCAACATAGAGCAGGGATCTATGGGGACACTGTGCGCCCCCATCAGACAAATATTACACAGGAAAAAAACATTTTTTACATTTTTAAAAGTTAATTAATAGTTTTTCTCATTCCTATTATTAATTTTGTCTTCATTTTATTTAGGGGGATAATCATGCTTAAGTTTCAGAACTACTACTCCCATGATGCCTTGGGGGAAACAATGTATAATAGGAAATAATGTTGCCATGGAGTCAGTTAGTTAGCTGTAGGCTCTGACTTAAACTGTCATTTTGGCAAAGTAAAAGTATGCAGACTCAGCTATCAGCAGCTCCTGTCAGCAGGGTAGTCGTGGGTGTTCAGAGAGCTATCAGTGGATTACTTTGGTACTGAAGAAATCTGACGATGGAGTTATAAGGAGCACCTTTTCTCTGGGATATCTAAGCAGATTTATTTGCCTAGATAGACATCAGAGGTAATGATAACCTTCTGTGTAAGTTACACTGGATCTAAAAATATACAGTATGTCTGCCCCCCAGGGGAGGCACGCCTCAAAGTTTGAAAACCCATACTAAAATCTCAAAGTTATGAACTATTGATTTCAGAATGATACACTTTGTTGTCTTTTCGTGCTGCAGATCCATACAAGGCTTTCGAGGGTTTGCAAGCAGAGGAGTGTGGAATACTGAACGGCTGTGAGAATGGTCGGTGTGTCCGGGTTCAGGAGGGTTACACCTGTGACTGCTTTGATGGATACACCCTGGACCTGTCCCGCATGGCCTGCGTTGGTAAGAGGGCACTTACAAATAACTAAAAGAAAGAAAAACCAACACAACTTTAAGGTGTCTATCACGCTTTTTACTTCATTTCTTTCCTCCTTTGTCCACAGATGTGAACGAGTGTTCAGAACTAAACAATCGGATGTCGTTGTGTAAAAATGCAAAGTGCATCAACACAGTGGGCTCCTATCAGTGTGTGTGTCTGCCGGGCTTCTCTGCCTCTGACAAACCTAACTACTGTGTGGAGGCAACAGTACACCAAACATCAACACACACACAGTGAGCATGGATGGACACTAGTGGGCGACAAAAGACACTAAAACCACATGCACAAGCTTGTATTATTATACTTGTGAGGACGTCCACTAACTACATTCAGTCACTGCCAAATCCTCAACACTAACCTAAAGTAGAGCTCACTGGTTGAAATGTCCAGCAGCACTCCCAGATCACTCACAGCTGATCATGTGGCAGTGACCTGAAGGAAAGTTAGAGATTAGGGGGTTATATAACAAAATCACAAGCGCACAGTGTGTGTACAGTGTAAATGATAAAAATCCTCCAGAACCTAAACCTTAAACCTTGCCTGGGAATTAAACTCATCCTTATTCAAATTTACTCCATAACCTAACAACTAATCTAAATCCAGATCTACCGTTTATCAGTGTCATTATATTTACTCATTTCCTGCATTTCCCTTCTGTTCTACAACACTATAGATTTTTTTTACTACTTCTGTTGTATTACATTTTATATATTTTCTTAATTTTACTGGTTTTCCAATATGGACATAATTTATATAAATGAACCCTTCCTCAGTGTTGGAAAGTACTCCCAATGTCCAAGAGTTAGATTAATGTCTGTGCGCTATCAATGGAGCTACAGTCAGGAAGAAGTGATTAGCCTAACTTAGCATGAAGTCTGGAAGCAACTTCCAGTCTTTATGCTCAGCTGTACTTACGCAGAAATGAGAGTTGTATCATTGTACCTACAGTATCTCACAAAAGTGAGTACATCCCTCACATTTTTGTAAATATTTGATTCTATCTTTTCATGTTTCAACACTGAAGAAATGACGCTTTGCTACAATGTAAAGTAGTGAGTGTACAGTTTGTATAACAGTGTAAATTTGCTGTCCCCTCAAAATAACACATCACACAGCCATTAATGTCTAAACCGCTGGCAACAAAAGTGAGTACACCCCTAAGTGAAAATGTCCAAAGTGTCAATACTTTGTGTGGCCACCATTACTTTCCAGCACTGCCTTAACCCTCTTGGCATGGAGTTCACCAGCGCTTCACAGGTTGCCACTGGAGTCCTCTTCCACTCCTCCATGACGACCTCACAGAGCTGGTGGATGTTAGAGACCTTGCGCTCCTCCACCTTCCGTTTGAGGACGCCCCACAGATGCTCAATAGGGTTCAGGTCCGGAGACATGCTTGGCCAGTCCATCACCTTTACCCTCAGCTTCTTTAGCGAGGCAGTGGTCGTCTTGGAGGTGTGTTTATCATGTTGGAATACTGCCCTGTGGCCCAGTCTCCGAAGGGAGAGGATCTTGCTCTGCTTCAGTATGTCAGTACATTTTGGCATTCATGGTCAATTTGATGCAGTGTGTCTATGACCTGAGCACTGACAGGCTGACCCCCCACCTCATCAACCTCCGCAGCAAGGCTGGCTACAATCAACTGTCTATTTCTCAAAGACAGAGAGCGTGTGCACTGAACTTCTTTGGTCGTCCATAGCAAGGCCTGTTCTGATTGGAACCTGTCCTGTTGAATCGCTGTATGGTCTTGGCCACCGTGCTGCAGCTCAGTTTCAGGGTCTTGGCAATCTTCTAATAGCCTCGGCCATCTTTATGAAGAGCAACCATTCTTTTTTTCAGATCCTTAGAGTTTGTTGCCATGAGGTGCCATGTTGAACTGCCAGTGACCAGTATGAGGGAGTGTGAGAGCGATAACACCAAATTTAACATACCTGCTCCCCATTCACACCTGAGACCTTGTAACACTAACAAGTCACATGACACAGGGGAGGGAAAATGGCTAATAGGGGTGTTCTCACTTTTGTTGCCAGCAGTTTAGACATTAATGGCTGTGTGATGTGTTATTTTGAGGGGACAGCAAATTTACACTGTTATACAAGCTGTATACTCACTACTTTACACTGGAGCAAAGTGTAATTTCTTCAGTGTTGTTACATGAAAAGATAGAATCAAATATATAATGTATCTCATTCTTGGAAATTAAGTGATCAAGTAGATCTTCCCAAATGCTGAACCACTCTTTTACTTGTGTTAGTGCTATGTTTTTATTGTTGTTTGAACCTGCTCCTACTTTACTATCACATCACATTGCAAAAATTGTTGCAAGGTGCCCGTTAATGCTTTCAGTTGAATGACAAGTCAAAACCTCTGCTGTGCTGTGTATCTTCTTATAACATTTTGTGGGCTTCCACATGACAGATTAAGACAACTATTTTTGAAATCACTCATTCAGTATTCCCTATACAGTCGAAGGAAAAAGTATGTGATCCTTTGGATCACATACTTTTTCACATACACATACACATACCACCTGGATTTCTGAATAAATTGGTTATAAATATAAATTAAACATAAATTTCTTGATAAGCTTTGGAATTCACTTTTTCTGTTGATGACAGCAACCCTTCCAGGCCCTATGGCAGTGAAGCAGCCCCAAACCATTGATTCCGCCTTTTTTCCTCCACACATAGGGTGGTGTGTTCAGTTATTTAAGCAGATGGTGTTTGTCTGTTGTTGTGACTTTGATGAAGATCAGATCACATTTTATGACGAATTTATGCAGAAATCCAGGTAACTCCAAAGGGTTCACATACTTTTTCCGGCGACTGTATAAGACACTATACTCTATAGTGACCAGTACATTGAGAATGTAAATAGTTTTAAAATTTTCACATAAGACTTATTCCATTGCATTCTGGGAATATCATTCATATACAAATTAAAAGCACTGGATACCAGTCTCCAAGATGATGCCCAGTCATTTACATGAAAAATGTTTAATTGTTTTGGCATAAGCCAAAACAAATCTTTGGGGAAAATCCATTTTAAGCCACCGGGGCTGCGTCTTAATACATCATAGGAAATATTTAGTAAAAAGTAGGGTATGTGCAATAGACACCATTTTTCATTCTGATAGGAATATTTGAGGACACTATATATAATATTCAGACACATAAAATGGCTAAATGTAGCACACCAGGCAGTAAATATGGAGTGATTTTGAACATTTGGATATGGAGTTTACAGCCACATGCATGATGTTTATTATAATAATAATAATCTTTATTTGTATTGCACCTTTTATACAAGTCACAGGATCAAACTTATTACAATTAATTCTCTAGAGATCATGGATGTTTGAACCACATTTCAGAGCGTTTGATTTATTACTTAGTGTCAGGATGGAAAGAGAATTTCAACAAATAAAAATATGCTTCAGAAATAAACTGCCAACTTCAGCTTTAAGTTATGTTTAATGGAATATTCCATAACTATTAGTCATTTAAAATTAACTTGTGAAATTATTTACATTAAGGGGATGGTAAATGAGTTGAAACTCAACTTAACCTTAATCTTACTACTACATTTCAAATGACAACCTCAAAGAAGTATGACTCAACTAGTATCTTCAAACAGAGCTTTATCACTTTTTCTTTTTATCCCTGAGGAGACATTTGGTCCTTATAAGTATAGAAATACAAGCATACACACAGACACTTACTTAATCACAGCCCATATATTCTGCACTGTATACATACACACTAAATGAAACAAACAGTAATTTACTTGAGATGAAGATTCAACTTAATCTACTATGTGGTGCCTATGTGGGGGATGGAAACACATAATTTTATAAAATGTATGTTTTGTCTGATGCTTTTTTAAGTCTGTTTCTTATTTTGGTTTTAAGTGGAGTTTTATCTGTGTTATAAGAGGCCACTTTGTTCATTTAACATATCGACAAACCCTATGGACTTGTGCTGGGGGATGAAGTTGTTCTTTTCTACCCAGTCAAACTGATTGTGGATATTTAATTCTGTGAAGAGGCCGGCTGTCTGCTCCCTCTCTTCCTCCATCACCGTCCCTCTGTCTGCCTTAAAGAAAAGCTTGTTCCTACACTGCAGCATCACCAAATCATTAATTTGCACATTTTGATGTGCTTAAGAAAGTTGCTAATGTAAAGTCTAGAATAAGCTTTGTTTGGGATTTTGTTTTTGTTTGCAATCGTACAGTAAAACTACTTGTTGTCTGGGACATAAGACAATGCCAGGTTCCATGTTTCTTAAACAGCTAAAATACTTTTGTTTCCTGGTATTCCTTCCTTTCTTCCTACGACTCTGTATGTGTTGCGATGACTGAAATTAATTTTTATTTTTCATACTTCTCTTATCTGAGTTTCACTGCAAAGTCTTGCCAGGTTGCGAAGCTGCTATGGGACAGCGATGGGAAAGAAGACACTTGTGTACATTTAAACAAAAGAGTGGAGATGACAGCTGATGTATTTGTAATTTGTACATGAATAAATAGATTTTTCTATGAATTCATATTACAGTGTACATTAAACCCCTTGGTAATAAACCACAAATTGTTATATTTACATTGGCTGGCCTGTCACTTTTTACTATTTGAAACAACATGCATTGGCAAGTACTTTTTCTATCCCTAGTACCTTTTCTACTATTCACTATGCTTGCATTCTTAACATTCCAACGAAATGTGATGATGGTTGTCATGAAGGTTACAGACTCTTCATACACATTTTTTAGTAACTTAGTAACTGTAATGGATTAATGGATTAATGGACATTTATTCTGTAATTACATTACATAAAATTAAATGTAACTAATTACTCCCTAACACTGCCTGTGATGACAGTCGTAGGCTACTGTGTCATTTCTTACAGTTACTGATTTCGCTCTCACCAAGCTGAGGGCTGAGATGATATTCTGTTTAAGGAAAACGTTTCTGGGTTTCTGTTGCATGATAGCTAACATTGCTAGGGCCCTTTCCACTGTACTGAAATCGTAGCTACCATGAATTTTGTGTTCCATTACACGCCTAATATGTGTTGTGAAGATTCGTATGACTATATCAAGATTTCCCTGTCACATTTGCACTACCTGATCATGACTATTATTTTATGCAATTTCTGTGAGCCAAAAAGTGAAGGAGAAAGACCATGATGAACAGCCTGTAGTTAGTGTGTTCTTCACCCAACCACAGTGCTGCGCCCACTGCCTTCACTGATTTTTTGTAAATAAGCTCTACTAATTTTGAAACCCTGGTTAGAACTTTGATCTATATATTTCAGAGGCAAATGTACTTTTTACTAGTTACTTTTCAAATTACAATTCTATACCTTTCCTGTTCAGTCAAAACTATGTATCTACTGATGTTGAATGTTTGTAATAAACTGAAGGATGAAAGGTTCTTTTGTGGGCTTTCTCATCCTTCTTCAGCTAAATAAAGTCTTTAAATCCCCCTTGGATCAGGTGGAAAATACATTGTTTGAAAGCTAGATTTCCTTAGCTCATAAACGTTTACTTTTTATTTTTATTTATTTATTTTTATTTTACCTATCTATACCTGCCCAGCAGCCTGGTATAGAGTATGAGTATATGTTGTGTTGAGTACATGTTGTGCCGGACAGATTTGAGTTAGTTTCCTTTGTATGTTTTATTATTTATTTGTATTGTATATGTATTGATTTGTCACCGGGCGGACAGGGGGGCAGACACCACAGAGACAGGACACCTGCAAGAGAAGTTGACTTTTCAGAGATACGTGGTTCTCACCAGACAGCGTTGCTTCTTTTATGCAGTCTATACTAAAAATATATGATGGTCTTATAGATGATGATGGATTGCTGTAGGTTAAACTACTCAACAGTACTCTACATTATTACATACACATTAATACAGCAGGAATATTAATCCAGAAACATCAGATATTACAGAGAAACACTGACTGAAGGAACATTCTTCAGCAGAATGAGTACTTTTATTTTACTTTTTTTGAACAAATAAGTAAATATTGCCAATGATATATATTTTTACTTCAGTG